ATAAAACTTTGATATTTCTAAGGTCTGTTTAACCACATGACAAGATTTATAAAAAATGACAAACGCAATGTCGATCCATTCAGAACGACAAACAAGATTCAGTTGCAGTTATAAAATATCAAAGGAATTTCAAGTAGTCTATAAATAATTCCGAAAACTTTTCTCACTTGAAAAAAATTCAATATGTTGCGCAGATCGCTATACCTTGATTTTGGTCCGTTATTTTTTGAAAACCTGGTTATAATATTATAAACAAAATAGTTTCATAAATCAACCTAAGTGTCAGGAAATATAGTGACCGACTTACTGTTACATGATAAAATTATGACTTCATTAATCAGTTAATGGAGGCTGTTGTAAATCATCATAGTTACCATTAAAAAGATATCTAGTAGTAATGGGAGAATTAGTGAGGTTAGTGTCATGGTTTGCATAACAAAATACTGTTTAGGAAATGTCATGAGTAACTTCTTGGAAACCAATAATCCAGCACTATGTCCCGGTGACTAGGAAGAGTAGTTACTTTACTCACGGATAATATCACTCAATCTCTATAGAAAGTGCTAAAAGATTTTGAATACTGAAGACCCTGATTCCACTTGGTCTGAGTAATATACCCCTGGTTTTTCCGAAAGATAGTCATTTCTTGGTCAAAAAGACTATGTTGACTACAATTACTAGAACAATGAGGAATGAAGCCAATTTTATAATAATCTTAGAAATGTAAACTAATAAACATGTAGAAAGATCATAACGACAGCTGTTTTCTGTGTATTCTGTCTAAATAATCGCCGGAAATCATATCAGTCCAAATACTCAAGTGGCACAATAAAGTTACTGGTACATTTCTATTTTAAAATCTTGTTTTAATTACAAATAATGATGTAAATTCTGAAAAAGCCTACGGATTGCATATCAATTTACGCGAATGATTAGGTTTATACGAGTGGGTGACAACATTTAAATGAGGTACATGAAGTGAAAAAACGTTATTCAAAAGTTATTCTGACTGAACACTTGTTACTGAGGTAATCATAATGTTAGACAAAATACAGACAGAATTTGTAGACAGAGGTAATATTATTTCCTAATTATTTTCGGATTGCACACCGTAATTGCTAGCAATCTTGCAAGGGTTTGGCTGTTTTTAAAAGTTAGTGTATAAAAAAACACAAATGCACTAATAAGATGACGTAAATACAAAGTCATGTATGCTTTGGAATTACAGGTATTACACATTTTCTATGGAAAGTATAGTAATCAATTCATTCACTAGCGGAGCAAGTTCGTTAACATAACACTCGTGTTCATTACGAACTGGCATCATCTTTGGGTTGAAGGAAAGTAGTGTAAGATTAAGAAATTAAAATACAACGTGTTGATTTATAAGGAAGATATTTACCATTACCAACAAAAATGTTGTACAAAACATAATTTAATGACAAGACTCGATAACCATTTGATTTAAACCACTTGTTACTTACGTTATAAATGTATAGTAATGTATACATGAGTGATTTTTACAAAGACAGGGGATTTACAAGAAAAGGCAGATGAAATTATAGTGATGGAAAAATTATTGATTGTTCATATATTAAGCGTTTGTAATGGATTGTATAAATATTTTTGTAAATCTAATTTTTTCCTCTTTAAATTTTGTGAAAAATTATGTATAAATTGGCTGCAGACGAATATTTAATATGTCTGTTAACTTCAATATTTCACTAGGAAAAATGACATGTTATAGGAAACACATGTATTAACAGTTCGAAATGAGCATCGAATTTTTATGAATACAGAACTTAAAATTAATTGGTACAATTTGACCTTACAGTTAAATGATAAGTGGTCTATACATAATTACTCACTTTATTGAAGAAAATAATAACCATCATTCATGGTCTTTTTCTGTGATTAAGTTCATTTCTTTTCGTGAATCCCCAAGTAAGTATTAAATTTAGAAATTTTTGCTGAGTAAGCAGTTAGCTATTTTATATAAAATCTACAATAATCTCCTCAAGACTGAATTCAGTAAATATATAATCGTAGTTATGTAGGGTACCAAACATTTTTTACTTGAAATTTTGTTCTACTTAACTGTCAATAAGTAGTTAAATGTGACAGGTAACGATTGAAATGATTCAATGTGCTATAGAAATCTGACAAAAGAATGGAAAAATTTACTGGAATCAAGTTTTTTCAATCAATCCTAGCACGTTATTTTGTTTTAAATATAAGAAGGAAATGTAGCTTATGTAGGCAAGTGAAATGTCACCAGGTCTCAACCAAACCATAGGGCATGTATGTCATTGACTGTCGAAAAGTTGGCCGATCCTCAACAAAGTCAAGGTCAATCGACGCGCACCAATATATTGCACACCATAACGACTGGCCCATATAGTAGTGGTCGCACTCTGATTCTTCTATCACCTTTCTAATATATTTCTGTTACAATGTTATTTTCGTTCATACGGTCATCAAAGTGGCCATAGTACATGAATACGATGAATTTATGTAAGTTGATAATTGCGAGATGTGACTTCGATGTTAACTAAAATGTCACATCGTTCACGTTCAACTAGATTAGGCTTATAGTCATCGACAGAGATTAACTACATTGGTTACCTACATGTTCTAATCCTAGATTTGTGAAGCGATTAATCCTTTCTATATTACACACATTCCTATTATTCGTTTAGACTTTTTATATAGTTCACATCTATTACCTAAAGCAACCGAAGTGCTGCAGTTCATCTGTGCGAACGTTATTTATAACAGAGTGATCTCTGTTCATAAACCACGTAACACAAGTTTTAGAAGCCTTTTATGATATTCTGATCATCAGAATACTTAACAAAATGAATGAATTTAATCATAGGTCTCTAGGACTCCATTTCTGCTGAGGAAACCTGGATCAGATATCTCAGTCACTTAAGTTAAACCACTTGACTTTAAACCTACATAAAATATTCTGGTTTTTCAAAATTTAACTAGTCAAATCAGAAGCCTGTAGGTATTTGGTCTCAAATTTCCGAACTTTGAATTACATTTCGATATAAATGTTCAGTTGTGTGTAAAAATGAACACACTGCTGCTTACTAGCATCTTTGGAGTCCTTTTTATCAGTGTCCATTTTAGCAACGTTTAGAAGCCAAGTAAACTGGAATATATTACGATGTATGTGTTGCTGATGATATACTGACCTCCGATAACAAGAATTTATATTACAAATGACATTTTTGACTAGCAATCACTAACTAAAACAATCAGCACAGAATTGTTCCCAACACTTTGATCTCTCACAGTTTATTCAGATTCATTTACGGTAAGGAAAGGAATTAAAGAAGCCCCGAATTCAACGTGTCAGGATGTAATGTGCTGCAATAAGGATCAACATAAGGAGTGGATCTCTATAAAGACACTAGACAGGGTGACCACTCACCTGCAGAGGCATCACAATACTGTCAGTACCAGGAAAGGTTTTAAGTAGAGTTTTGCTTAACCAAGTGTAAGTTTCAGTAGACGTCCACCTTATAGATCAGCAGATCGGACTCTGTAACAGTTGGTCGTGCACAGAGCAAATCGCGAAACTACGGATAGTCATTGAACAACCAATTGGATGAAACTTGTCACTACACATCAAATTCCTTGATTATGAGAAAGCGTTTGACAGCGTGAATAGGATGACCTTATGGAATGTTCTTAGACACTATGATATCCCCGAGAAGATTGTTGACATCATCCGGAATTCATACTATGGACTACACTTCAAAGTGGTGCATGGAGTACAGCAGGAAGGTGCATCCAGAACGAGGGCCAAAGTCAGACAAGGTTGCTTACTCTCTTCCTTCTTTTGTGGTGGTTGACTGGATTATGAAGACCTCCACATATCGGGATAAGCATGGAATAAAATGGACATGTTGGGTGCAACCAGACGATGTGTAATTCGAAGATGACTTAGACTGTGTATCTCATGCGCAGCAAAACTCCAGGTCAAGACAGCTAGTTCAACAGCAGCCTCTGCATCAGTAGGCCTCAACATACACAAGGAAAACAGCAAAATATTCAAATACAGCATGTAGAAAACCGACCCAACGACAAGTGATGGAGAAACTGTGGGCGAGGTGGAAACTTGCACGTACCTGGTCAGAATCTTCGATGAGTGTAGAGGATCTGATGAAGACGTAAAGAAGAGGATTGGAAAGACAAGGACAGCATTCCTACAGTTAAAGACCATATGGAACTCAAACCAATTGTCAACCAGTATCAAGGTGAGAATCTTCAATACGAATGTCAAGACATTCCTACTGTACAGGGTTGGATGTGAGAGAACTACCACAACCATCATCAGAAAGGCACAAGTATTTACCATCAATTGTCCACGAAAGATACTCAATGTCCGTTGGCCTGATACCATCAGCATTAGCCTACTATGAAAGAAGGCAAACCAGCTTCCACGTGAGGAGGAAATTAGGAAAAGACGTTGGGAGTAGATAGGACACACAATGAGAAAATCACAAAAAAGAATCTTGAAGCAAACGCTAGCTTGGAATCCTAAACGTTGCCAAAGGCTGAAGAATACACAACGTAGGGAACCCGAAGCAAACATGAAAAGGATGATTGGCAACTGGAAAGAACTGGGAAGGATTTCGCAGGTCATGGTAGCATGAGGAATACAGGTGGAAGGCCATTGCACATCTATGAGTTATTACTGTGAAAATAGGGCTATTGCTAATTAGATTAACTGAGCTATTTACTTAGGTCATTTTTAACAAATATTATTATATAGAAAAACCACGGCGACACGGATGGTGAAATAACTAGCGTGTTCGAAAATATATCATCAATCTCAAACGAACTATAGGTCTTATATGTCCATCAAAATAATCACTATCAGAGTGAAGGCAAGCATGTTATGAACGAATAACTCAGTGTTGTTTCCTGAATTTTGTTTTTGTTGATCCACTCACATGACCTTGCGGTAAATAGTAAGCTTTCAAATAAGTTATGCGTTGTTGCATGGTTCATACCAATTTCTCATTAAAGTGCAATTTCGAACGTTCAACATAATAAAATACTAGTTTTTAACTGCACTCGTCACGCAAAGTTAACAGGAGTTTTCCTGAAGAAGCTACTAATGTGAGTGACTTGTTTAACAAATCAACAATATTACTTCATTCCTGAAGTCACATCGTAGCGTACTGGAGAGATTACAATCTATGGACGAACAAGTCAGATATATGTTAACAAGTCATGAAATTTGGCGCAAAATTCATTCATACATTTGCCTAAGTAGAGTTTTGGCACTATAGCTGATATAAGTGCGTAATGTAAAATTTAATCTAGTTTTTGACCATAACCATTTACTGTAAATGAAGGTTCTAACTGCTGTATAATCCTCATTTATTCCCACCCAGTAGGTGTTTACTCTCAGGGGCACTTGAAAGAAATGTAGATTGAGTCAAGCGTTTATTCCTATTCTTTATGACATATGAAAACACTATTTCGAACTTGAATCCACTTACAGTAAAAATTTTCTTACATTTCACATCAGTGGCAGTTAAAGTGTGAATCATTGAAGTTTCTGTTTTCTATTCAATTAGTCAACTACCGATCGACACTTGTAATGCATTTTTATATACATTCATCATATAATCGCAATTCGAGAAATACCTGTTAGTGAATTTCGAGTTTACTATACTGCATAGGATATCCGGTTCTAAACATTTTGTTTAGAATTGCAAACGATATTATCTGTTACCCATGAAAATAAGAAATGCTCTACATCCTGAAAAGTTCGCAAAATGTAAGGTTTGCATTCCGGAAAATTTTCTAAGTTAAAAAAAACGAATATATTCGAGCAAAACCGCGAATACATCGGGATTTTGACGGTTTCGTTTTTAATCTCATCCTTGTTTTTTCTTACATGATATCTAATTTAATAATATGGGGTATCAGTGGACTACTTTGTGTAGTGGTGTTAGGTTTATTTTACCATTTTAGAATGAGCGTATTTATTCATATTTACTTGGTAAGTGTTAAATCTTGGTCTCATGTATAAGTTACTCTGCAATTATATATTGTTTATGATCTAAGTAGTCTGACTACATATTAGTTAATAGAGATCCCGATAATCATTTATTGAAGTCATCATCTAAGACAAAGTTTGATTGAAATATATTTTAAAATCAACGATTATTAGAAAATTGTAAAGCACGTTCTTTAGGGACTGGATACGTTGGTCCAAATTTTTGGAATACACGTCGACTTTTTGCTAATAATAGATTTTCGTCGTTACATATTGTTGGGTATCAAAAAGTGAATTTTTCGGCTTTAGATGCCAGATAAAATTGTTGTTTCATACGTTTAAGAACAAACAGCACTGATGATGACGACATAAACCGTAAGCTATACGAAGACTCGTATGACTACACTTCTTATACACACATCACACAAGAAATCATAAAATAATTGGACGTCAAGGAATTTTATTGGACTGTTGTTTAGATTTGATTTTCTGCTTGTGGTTTTGTTCTATGTTCGTTTTCTTCAAATTAATTCTTGCGTTTTCCTCTAGAAATCAGCTTTTATGTTCTATTAAATTCTTCATATGACTCATGAATATTTTTGTCTTTACATACTCACGGTAGTATTCCCTTCTTGTGATCTTGTTTCTGATCACAAGTTATCAAACCAGTTTATTTTAGTCCAACTGTGTATAACTGTAAGTCAAACATTTAAATCCATTAAGAGAAAATAATTGTACAGCACTTGAGCTTGGTGCTTATGCACTTTTGTTTTCCTAGCAATGGTTTTTAATTTGGCCCTCATCAGTCTGAAAAAATCTAAACAGCCATTTCTGGTTAAAAATTGTTCAAAAGACATCAATTGATAAATATCTGTTTACAGTTGGATTAATATTTTTCAGAATCCTGGTGATTTATTCTTAAATGGAAATCTTCAGACTTGGAGAGGTTGCACCTCCTAAAGATGATGATTTTCATCGCTTTAAGATCTTCGTTAAAGACGAAATAAACTGGAAACGCCGACATAAAAAGAAGAATGTAGAAGTTTTTACACGCTCAACCCCACATACCAATATGAAAATGATCAAAGTTGTAGCCATATTTCCAGACGTATCGTCGCATGTGATATATGACATGTTGCATGACAATGACTATCGATCGTCATGGGACAATACTATGAAGGAGTCGACTGAAATTTGCCGTATTACATGGAACTGTTCTATCGAACATTTCGGATGTAGGTTCCAATATATTTTAACGTTTGTAGTCAGAGCACCATTTGCGTTTGCTAACCGCGACTTTGTTATGCTGCGCGCGTGGCAACAATATGAAAATGAATACATTATATTCAATCGATCAGTATTCCACAAGGTAAGATTGGTTACTTTCAATTTCAACGAGTAGAAAGTGCCTCCACGATCAGATTATGTGCGGGCCCTGACATTCATTACTGGTTATGTTATTACTGCCCTTAGTCCTGTATCATGCCAATTAATGTATTTAACGCAGAACGATCCGAGAGGTAAACAACGTTTTTGAATTCGACTGAAACTTGTAAATTAAATCAAACTGACCGTACCCTAGTTTGTCTAGCGTTACTCGTATTTAGTAACTTTTTGACTATATTCATCGTTTTTTCATAACCAATTGGAGGTAAAATTTATGAAAAGTCTTAAGGGCAACGAATATTGTTCAAATATTATTTTTAAAAATCCCAAATTTTGTGTCACGAAAAGCAAAATGTCTTCGATGTGAATTTACTTTAAAATATAGTTTAAAAGATGGACTTAATGAAATATTGCGTTTCTTTTCCATGAAGTTAAACAAGCTGTGAACTGTAGTATTTATAGAACACACCGCAATACGCTGTTTTTCGTCGACTACATGCAAAATAGCTGAGTTTAATCTTGCTCCTTGAATATTCTGATTTTTATTTTGTATCGAAATACTTGTATTATTCGTAAATAACCCATCAAAACTGAGAATCGGGAGATACAACGACAAATAGTTTCCCGGAGCTTCCAGTGTTGTGAAATCTACTCTTCTCTTAAAAACAAAAGATAATCATATTAAAAACTAACTTGCATGTAATGTATCACTCGTTTAGTCACTCAGGCGAGATTTAGGTCTTTTGAGTAGTTTGTTGCTGATAAATTGGGAGAGACTAAGCCATACTGTAAAATTCAGTCAACAGTTAGCAAACTTTGATAAACTTCTGTTTCATTTTCTATAGTGAATTTATAGTGTCATTTCGTTGTCTTTTATTTGATTGAGGGGTTCCAGAGCCTTTAATCGTATATTTTTAATTAAAACTCACGAAATCCTTTGAAAGAATTGAGGAAATATGGTGGCATATATTTCAAAGTCAGTGTAAAATTTTGACATTGTTCAAGTTATTGCTAACTTTACATGAAGTTATTCCTGAGAGTTTGTATATTTTTAATGTCTACACCAAAGACTATGTTCAGCTTAAGACGAAAGTATGCCAATACAGATCGATAAATTGCAGTTATTGATATCACCTTTGAGCAAATTACTAACACTTACAGACAGACGTAGTTAATTGAAAAAAACTAAATAGATGTAACTATGGTTAGATTAGGCTCTATAAAAATCATATCTTATGCCATGACTAGCTTAGTAGATAATGAGAGATTTCACAGTGTGAATGCTAGTGCAAGAAAATCAATTCACGTTTCCGAACTCTTCAGTCACACAGAATAAGTAGTACAGAAATTTGTTAGAATGGATTATGGAAATGACTAATGTATGGATCAGCAAACACCCGCTTCTAAGATTTACAAATATTTGATATAAGCATACAGCGGACAGTGAATTGTCGGCCTTAAAGTGGATAATAATAGTAAGCTTTGCCTTCACAGTGCCTAGCTTGCGTTACAAAAAAGAATATGATGATACAGTAGCGTAATTACACACGTTGTTTTCCACATAATTACAACTAACTCTTCACATAAATATAAAAGTACAAGAAGTAAAAAGGGGCACCAGTATTGGTGAGAAAAAAACAAAATGTTTAATCATTATTCAGAATGATTAAAATGATGGGTTGGATATTTGATAAAGCTTTCAATGTATTGTCTGATAATCGTAATTAATTTTCTGGTATCTACTTTATCTTATAAAAAGTAAGTACTACTATGAGGATAAAATGTAAAAAAAGTTCTACAAACTGCAACGCAAATAAAATAATTTTTATAAGTGGCCAGATAAGGTTGAATTAAAGGTGTTGTCTTTTTCTTTGTTCTTACAAATGGTAACATATTCCGGTTTTTTAAATAAATTTTTAATGTAAAGCAGAATAGTTTGAAAATATACTCCAAATTTTCAAAAACCTGAATTTAAAACCCGAAAACAGAAATATAAGTGTTCATCATACATATATTCACTGCTTTAAATTTTGGCTTTATTGTTTCGTCCGGTTTAACCTATAGGTGATATTCCATCATGGGCAATAAACCTAGCAACCACAAAGGTGGCTCCACGTCTTGTAAAGTCACTTCAACGAGCTGCTCTATGCTACCCAGGTTGGAAAGCTCAAAACCGACCAGAATTTAAACCATGGCGAAATCCTGAACAACAAGACAAATCAGTACCTCCACTGTGTTATAGTGATATTTTGAGGGAACCCGACTTTTCTCTGAAGAAGGTTCATGAAAAACATGTGAGCAAAGAAAAAGCCCTGAAGGAAGTTGGTTTACCGCTTGACACAAGGTTGGATGAAGATAGCTCCTAGTTATTTAATTTTTATTATGTTCTACTTGTTTATTTTCAAACCATGTTATAAACTTTCATATGTATTGGTTAGATCAGGTTTATTGATCAATTAATTGATTATCTTAAATGATTAACTGTCTATTATCCTTGTATTGGTGTTCCGTTATGATATTCCCAAATTCCATGTAGTTCAATATTCTAAGGGCACAAAAAATATTTAAAGTTTAAATTTTTGAGAAAATGAACAATAGATGAACTAAATGTGTCGATTTTGTTTTACGTACTATTTCTGGGAAGTTCTTGTATAACTTGAGTTAAGCTATTTTGTATCATTAGACACATGTGAAGATAATAAGCCATATGATTACATTAACATCGTAGGCAAAATGAGACGATCTCACAAATAAACGAGATCGGCGCTGTATGTATGCAGTTAATTAGATTTTAAAGTATTTAGTCTCTAATTACAAGTAATATCGTCGATTGATGCAGGCGTATGAAATCAAAACAAGACTTATTCGAGGTGAAGCGTGTCCCATTATAGAGGGATTTGTCAGCGAGATAAACCTGCACTAAGTGATTATTCCAATTTGTCTGCTTACAGATCATATCTATTAAGAAATCTAACCACATTACTTGATTTTGATTCACTGAAGTTATAAAAGCTATGAACGACTAATTTAATTTCCAATCTTCAAGAATATTATGCCATCTAGTTTGTAATATTCATCAGCTGATATCATGTTCCAACGAAAATCTTTCGTCACGTTCATTACATTGACTAATCTGGTAGAGGTGACATTAGAATCGAACTGCCACCCTGATGGCTGTAGTGATTAGTAAAAGCTTATTTAGTATTGAATATGAAGTTGACTTAAGAGTAAAATTAAAATTTAAATAGACGCTGATTTTTCCTGAACGTATCAAAGTATGTGGTTATTGATAAATACGATTCAAAGTTAGTCATAAAGAATAATTAGAAGTAATTTTTGTGGCTTTCCTACTTCATTAGCAAGCTAGTAGGGTGAGAATTTTTATTTGAAACAAAATTTGGTCTATATCGCTTTAGTATGTGTTACAGATTAAGAGTTATTATATTTGAAGTAATGAGGTGTGCACTTTTATTTCATAAACCAGATTGTATATTTTTTAAGGATCATATTTTCTTTACTACAAAAATGTAATCCGTCGGCCGTTTTGAATACCTTGTATCTAATTTCCTTCGACTGCCACAACTCTAACGTTCAGGTTATTCCGTTAGACTGAAACTTCAGAATCTTAAAAACATTTATTAACTGATCAATAGTAGATTCAGTGAATGATTATGAACGTTTATTCTGATGACCTTAAATAAACAAGTTAGTCTGGATGGTGGTATTTTCTCCAATAATCATAAGTTGAGCTGAGCTTTAAATATTGCGATAATTTTTAGACTTTACGATATCGAAAAATCTTTTAAACCTCTTTACGTGGTAGAAAGTGTCAATTTTGAATTGCGTTAATTAACACGTTTACACATTTATTTGGTGTGATTTTGCACAAAAATGAACTTAATAAAGAAAAGTAGAGAGGCAATTGCATTTGTTGTTACAGTAAAATGAGGAATTAGAAGTATGATTATTTGACAGGAGAATACTATCTATTAATAAAACCTCGGTATTTGATAAAAGTTAACCTATCTTTATCAAATACTATTACTTTTGTTTGGAAAAAATGGTAAGGAACAGTTGAGTTTAGTCTGAGTGCATTATAATTAAACATTTTATCAGAAGTTATTCAACATTTACTCATCGTAAAAAAACAAGCTAACAAGACATCGAATTTAGTTAGAAGTTTTCCGTGTCGTCTACAAGCAAGGAGTCAGTAGTATTGTTGATTAATTATATTTGTGTATTTTTTATGTATCCTACGGAACATCCAATTGTTCTCTGTAAAAATACAATAATTGCAAAATATTTGTATATTAGGCTGAAGAAATAAGATACAATTATATATATATATATATATATATATATATATATATATATATATATATATATATAACGCTCAAATATTTGGAAAAACGGAGATTATTAAGGTCATCGGCCAACATCTTACGTCATCTTCTTGGTATATATTGACGATGATAAGAGTTTCATTTGAATGTTCTGTTAGGTTTCCGGTAGATTGTCGATAAAATCGCATTCTTTATAACTAGTTTATTTTTTGCAATCTGTTAAATGAAAAAAAAGAATATATGATATGCTGTTGGAGCCATAAAGTATTGCTAATAATTTCTGAAATAATAAATTAAATATCTTCAGGTTAAATTTAACTTAGGAATTAAAATATCCCTAATTCAAGGTAATAATTTTAGCAATTACTTCTTTACTAAAATCAAATGTACTTGCAAGTGATATATATATACGAGAAAGATAAGATTAAGCTTAATAAATAATAATTATTGTTAATTTTTATGAATAATCAGTTTTGGCTTTTTTATGGTTTATTTTTTGAACATTCTATTTTACAAATTCTATGCCAACTAATGAGAGAATAAGTTCACATGGTACTGAGTATGACAGAAGTTTATTTAGATAAAATAATTCACTTTATATATGTAAATAATATTGAATATATAAAAAAAGGAAAAGTTATATTCTCATGGAGCTCCTTTATTCCGGAACCCTATAATTATATTATTTTTTTTAGAATTTTTAATCATATCAATATAGTTCATTATGAAGAAACTCTTCACAGTTGATTTTTGAGATAAAATAGTAGAAACCTCTTCGTTTATTTTGGGCAGTAAATAAACTTTTCTAGATACGTGAAATTTGACTTAAATCTTCCAAACATTTTTTGCATTAAAGTCATCATTATTTTTAGTGTATTTTTATTTGTAGTAAATTAATAGGAAATGACTAACTATTTTAATGTCCTTAAAATGAGATAGAAACGTAGTATTTAAAATTTTAATTCTTATATTGACATATGAGAAAGTATTAATTTATTGGATTGATTTAAAAGAATTAGATCTAATTCATAAAGTTTACTATACTGAAATAACCACATTGGATTAAGTATTTACCAAATTTAATATGATTTGATTTCATGTTTTTAATAAATTTTCCAAAAAATAATATTTCTGTTTTTATTTATCATGTATATATTTGTTAGAAATAGCTACAATTGAAAGCTATAAAACGGTATAACTATAAAGAAACTTGTAATTGATCATGTTTTCAGGAATATACAATTAACTAAATCAACCTATTAAGAAAACAATATACCAACAAAAATGAGACCAATCACACATTTAAATAACTTTATTTAGGAAGAAACGATTACTAACCAAATTATTGAAAGTAATTGAAACGACAAGACATTACTTAGTGTTTAGTGTAAACTAGAGTGATCCTTTTAACAGATCTAGACTTAACGAATATTGTCAGTTTAAGGGTTGTGGAGATTGTTAAGTTTTTGATTGAGATCATGAACCGATTGATGATAGACCACCATTGAAAACCTGGAAGCACTGGACGACCGTTTCGTCCTATTGTGAAACTCCTCAGAAGTGCGCATCCACGATCCCGCTCGCGGAATTCGAAACCAGGGCCGAGAACATTTAACCTACTGCAAACAAAACTTGGCTCAGTGGTCTCACAATAGGACGAAACAGCCTTTAAGTGCTTTCAGGTTTTTATGGTGGTCTAACATCAATCGGTCCGTGACCTCAATCAAAAACTTAACGAATATTATCATAAATACGTACATATATATTCCTATTATCAAATAATAGCATCAAATAAAACAAAGAATACATATACTATTGCACAAGAGGAAACTTTCAATTTTCAAAATATAGATCAGTGTATTGTAATTTATTCAAACAAGTAGAGCAAACAAAAGTACAATTTTAAGTCAACTAGAAATGTACATGACAAACGTCATTCATTAATTACCATATGGACAAACTAGAAAATTTATGAAGATAAACTATAGTTCTCAAACATTAAACCATACAGATGGTCATTATATTTTTTTATAATCTTTATTACAGAGTATTTTGGTAACATATAAGAACCATTCACTGAATATTTCATTTTCAAATTTCCATCATTTGTCTCTCACATCCTCAATGACTCTTCAAGTTCTCTATTCCTTTCTATTTTCCCTCCTATTCTCTTCAACTCGATCTTCTTATCCTTCTGCTGCCAGTTTTTCCACTTCCAATTGTTGTTACACACCACTTATGTTGGCAGACACAAGTAGCATACACCACAAACTTAGTATGATTTTCAAACTATTATGCTAAAAATACATTTGTAAATTAAACTACCATATTTTTAAATCAACGATATATTCTTGTTAAAATTTCATTAATGCTTATACATCAGTCTGTAACATGTGTTATGCGTGTAAACAAGTTATCCTGACTTAGGATAACATTTGTTCATCAATAAACGCCAAATTTATTGGCGTGTATTATTTGAATCATGTATTATCTATGAAGTTAAAAAGCAACTACGTATACATTTCTTTTCATGATATTGTAAACGTACCACCATGTTCACAAAAGAGGATAACAAAAATTAAATCAGTAATTTTTTGCATAGTGGTTGGTTATAGATTTACATGGTTGATAGTTAATCTGTTTTACTTTGATAGCTTCATTATTTCAATGTTTTAGTTTTCTATTTGGTAAAATAAAAAGATTTTACGCTAATATTCTATTAGTAATTCTTTACAATATTCATAAAATTTTCTCACTTATATTCTAAGCCCATTATACTATTATTAGTAATAGAATAACTATGAATACAGTAGTTTATCAATTATAAAAAGAATAACAGAAAGAATATCACAATTATTCCCATTATATGAAATATTGTCATTATAATATTAGTTTGAGTCGTTTACGATAAATACTTTTTTTATATGATCATATGATATGTGTGTATATAATAATTCGCTTGGTAAATAGAAAAGTGCATTAGAAAAAAAGAAACAATACAAACTCAAGAATAACCACGTGAATTTTGAAATAAATTTCTTCTTTTGAAAAAAAACGTATTTTCAATGAGAACTTAAATTTGAAAGAACAGATTTATGGATAGATAGATAGATAGATATGCATAAACTCTTAGCCATAAACTTTTATAACTTAATAAAATTGAAGAAGAAAATGTCATATGCAGAAAATCGAAGACTTTTTAAAATTTAATTTATTTACATTAAAAATTTATATTTTTTAAATTGGTAACATAAAATAAATTTGATGGGTTTTTGCCTAAAATTGTTATAACAACACTACTGATCAACTAGTATTTAGTGGCTTAATTCTAATAATTTTTATTAAATATATTTTTATTTCATAATCCAACTTCAGCTTTTAAATATACAACATTAATTAATATCAGATTAGGGGGTTTGTGAAGATTGTAGTAATTTAATAAGTGAATTCATGAATTGATTAAAGCTAGACCACCATGGAAAACCTGGATACACTAGATGACCGTTTCGTCCCAGTATGGGACTGCTTAACAGCGCACACCAGTGTCCCAGCACGTATGATTTGAACTAAGGACCATCACTTTTGCGCGTGAACTTTTAAACTCTAGACCATTGAGCCAGCATCCAACGGTGTTAATGTCTAACTTCAACCAATCCATGATATTGCGTGACCGTCCATCCTTGTCTACAATGAGTAACGGCCTCACAACACATACATGGTCGAATTCCACTGGTCACTACTTTTCACGATGGCGCAACGTCGTGGATTGATTGAAGTTAGACATTAGCACCGTTGGATGCCGGCTCAGTGGTCTAGAGGTTAAGCATTCGCGCACAAGGCTCGTAGGTCTTTGGTTCGAATCCAGCGTGCGGGATCGTGAATGAGCACTGTTGGTGAGACGAATCAAGCATTCTGATAAATTATTTCCGATTAATATAAAAATAAAAAGGGTTGTTTCAGCAAAGGTAATAATAGATGTTACGGTTTGAACTCTGGTATGAAACAAGTAAAGTTTATCGTGTTTTAAAATGTTTATTATTACTTTAGAAATGAGTTATAGATATACCCATTTTTATATAATATCCTTTTGATTCTGTCTAAATACAATCATTTCTGTATAGAATATAGAGCACCACGAACGTTTTATACAGATTAAATATGAATTTAACTGTCAGAGTGATATCTGCCATCATAAAACTTAGATAAGTTTTACATTAATGTTTTCCGTTCTCAAGAATATGGAATTTCTGGTTGCATGACGGATTTAAAATTTTGTCCTAGTGATTACAATCTTATAGTTTATATTATTCATGTTTGGTCACTGTTTGGTATCAAACATCCTGCGTTAATATAAGTTTTGTACTTTTAATCCATGCCACGAAAGAGATAAGACAACTAGACTTTCCTTTTCAAAACATTCTGTTTATGTAAGGATAGATATTTGTTGATGACCAAACTTAATAAGTCGGATTCACTACAAATTCAGTTGACTGGGAAAACATAAATTATTGAATACATCCAACAGATTACCAATTACGCAATAGCTACGTGAACGTATGATTTTGGCACCTGGATGCTAATAAAATAAGGGTTATAAATCATTGTACAAAACGACAGTTCATTATTATTTTATTATGTGTCTTCAATTTGAGTGAGCATTGTGAAAAAAACCGTCCTCATACCCAATAAATACTGACAGATGACCTAACTGACACGTTTAATTTTTGTGTTTAATTTTTTTAAAAACCATTTTTTATTTCTTTTTGTATTTGCTACTGCCTTTTTGTTCGTTGTTCAATAAGTAACTTGTTGAAATACCCTGTGCTGAGAATTCTATATTGTACCAAAATATAATATTGAATAAAGCCATCAATAATAATAATAATAATAATAGTAATAATAATAGTAAAGTAAGAGAAAGTTAGCTAAATACTGTCATTTCAAATTTCATAAACAATATTTTTGCTGTAGAGAAACATATCTTCTGATATGATATCAATAAATTTTAGTAAGTTTGTAACCATATAGAGAAATTAGGTATATGTAAACTATTGAGCAAACATACTGGCTCGATTAATTATGATCTGTTAGTACTATATAGGTAATCAATCATAGTCCCGGATCTAAAACTATTTAATTCTCGGCAGATCATGAATGGATAATGATTTGCATATTTTATTAATTGTTTTGTTAGTGGGGAATTCAAATGACTATTGAACACGTTAATCAAAAGAATCGGCATGTTTGCACGTTTGTGGAAAAAGTAAGATTGTATAAATGGGTTTAACATAAAAAAGGTGAACTACAAGTTATCACAAAGAATTATAATCAACATCCATGTTAATTCAATTTACTATTTATAATTTAAATTAACTTCGTATGAAACTATCCAGTAAATTAACTAACTAAATTTTTAGTGATTTGATTCCGATAAGAGTAAGTAAAATCATTACACTTAAATAAAAAATAGACATTTGACATTTGAGATTAATTGCAGATTATTTACTATCACTTGATCACATAAATTGGTTTTACATTTTTCTCAAACTAATTGATTAGAAGACATTTCAATTTATTTATTTTGAGAAGTGGTTTTGTGGAGATTTTAGAAATTTCACTAATTGAAATCAAGCTAGACCACCATCGAAAACCTGGATGTTGATGAAATCAAACAACATAAATACCTCTTCCATAAGTAACTGTAAATTATAGTTTTAATGTTTTTGTATTCCTACTCTAAATGGCTGTTTTCATACTAAGAAGTAACTAAATGATAATTTTCATCAACAAAATAAGTAGAGCTCAATAAAATAACTTGTAATTGAAACAAAGAAGTTTCGTCTTCAAATATATTACAAGGATATTTATCAGCTTAAAATTTATTAATCAATATTTGATAAGAAATCTTGAATATACTAATGTAATAATTCTACATATCATTGAAAAATGTTTCTTTGTAAATAGTTTTTAATCTGTTGATGAAATATACGGTGATTCGTATAGTTTTACTCATAGAATAAAGTTAAAGTAAAATATATCCACGATGTTTGAAAAATATTGCACTGAAACAAAACATCACTGAGTAAATTATTAGTACACCTTAGTAACTTTACACAACTATACCTAATTATCTTTAAATTTTGTGGATTTAATGCAAATACACAGTGGTTAACTAACACCTTTCACTATTACATAATCGCCAACTTTCAAAGGTAAAATATGCCAAGTCATAACCGAATTTACTGTTATGTAGAGTTGATAATGAATAAAATATTGTAAGATATTAATTAATTTTATAAACGCTTTCAATTTCTTGAACTAATGTATTTTGTTGACAAAAGCTGATAAAACAACAAGAAGAATTTAAATATACTTCAAAAAAAGTTGTAAACAAATATCAATATGAAATTACTTACTTAAAAAAATTAGGTTCTTGGTGAAGTATTGTTTGGACAAGTTGTAACTTCATTATCTGAATAGATTTCTAATGATTTATCATATTTTTTAAATTTCCAATTTATAATTCCATTATTATTAGTATTATGATTAGTTAATTCTAGCGGAGTAGGTTTGAATTCAGAATCTGTGACAGTCAACTGTTTTCCATACTGGATTTCATGTTTTAAAGTGTTAGCTTTGGTATTTTGGTAGTTGAAATTTAAAAATGTTTTATAATTATTCGCTGTTATATGTACATCAATACTAGGAGTAGAAGAATTTGGTTGATCTGGTATTTTAGTGTCTAATTTAAAGTTTTGTTGATTCTTGAAATACTTGTCATAATTGTTACTTTCTGGACATTTCAAATGTTACGGTGAAATAGAAATGAAAGTTTCACTAGAAATTGTTACTGAATATGATAATAACAATAAAACTAATTGATGATTCAAAGAATTCAACGTCAATTCGCTTAGGTGTATGCAATATCATTAAAATGTGCTAGATTTTTATTTAGGTGAGTTGATGAAACACAGCTTTCATCTTTTAAATGAATTCAGGAAACTATGAAATTCTCTAAAACTTTGGTATTCTTAGTAAAACATTCGAAATTATTTCCTTCAAATTATTTACAGTTTCGTTTTCTACACTTACGGTGTAGAGGAATATTGGGTTCCGTAGAATGTGTATCTCTTAATTCGTTCTTCAGTGGCTGACCAAGAAATGGAAGCATCTCTCGACTTTTAAATGAACTATATTATAAATAATGGATATCAAATCTGCTCAAAATAAATGTTCCCTTTCATTTTAAAACATTTCACTAGAACTCATCTGGATTCCACTTTTGGTGTTTACACTCAGACCTCGGAGATTTATCTACAAAATTATTAAAGTAAAGAGCGTCTTGAAATTCATTGAGTATTGCCATTCAAGACATAATCAACACTATTCTAAAGTCATAATGGAGGCTTCCGTTTAGAAGGTCCATTTCGCGGTAGAGACAAATTAACTCACTCTGAAATGTAAACAAACTTAAAGTATCGATCAAAAAATTTTATATGAATTCGTTTGAATCTTCACTAACAGTTACTGTATGAGAAACGTTATATCTAGTGTAAAAATATCTAAAGTTATGTATTTGGTCAAACTGATAACTTTTATGTAATTGACTATCAACCATGGTGTTTAGCTTTTTCTTAAATAATTTCTACTTTATGCGAAAAGATTTAAAATCCATAGCTGGAATATTTTGTAGATAAACTTATTGTATATCAGAAAATACTCTGCTTACATCAGGAAACTTACCACTACTATTTACTTTGATTTCTCTCATAACTAATTCGTCCGAATCATTCGATTGGCTAGATAGTATAGCGCTATCATTGACTGAATAGTAGGTTCGTGTTGTATCCGATTTCAAACTTTGCGCATTTTGTTCCTGGGTGTAGTATGTCTTATTCTTATCGTTCAATTGAACTGCGGACGTATTTTCAAGTGTTCGATTAGACAAAGTTAGAATTTCATTGTTCTCATGTGGTCTGTTTCAAATAATATTCCAAAAATATTCATATAAAACAGATTCTTATTAGTTGTGTATCAAATAATACGAAGGTAGTAAAAATGCTTTAAAAACGTAAACCAATTGTAAAAACAAATTAGCTTTTGTTTAACCATATATGTGAATAATTTTAGTATGACTGAGACCATATTCTTTACATCCTTACGTAGTTAAGCAAAACAAGGAAAAAGAGCACATATTGTTAATAGTAAATATGTTTTTGGGATATCGCAATGAGTAGAAATTTGTATTTCTGACGTTTCGTGACTTTATGTAAGTTACTTCTTCAAAGCAATTAACTATTCTAAGTAAAATTAACACAATTCTAAATATTACATATGAAACAATGCAGAATATCGTTAGTACAACCAAAATCATAGTAGATCTGAACATGTCAATGTCATGTTATTTTGGTGAAGATGATTCTGTTTTACATATCACTGCATATATTTGTGCGTTAGAAGGTGGGTATGAATAATATATACATTTATAATAAAGAGTAATGAGGTTAAAATTGTATGTGCATATTGTGTGAAAAATGGATAGGGTCAAATGTGGTTGTTTGGATAAACAGTCCAGGTTGGATGAATAGACAGAACTTCTTTCCTTTGAGAGGATAGGGATTTAGCACTATGAGAAACGCTTCAGCCACTCGCATTTGTAAAGTTGGAAAAACCTTTCTGTATTATTTTGATGTTTTTATATCAATGCGGTGATTATTGAAAATACCATATAATACTAATGAATTAACTCGTAGATTTTCAAATTCTATAGGATTATTTGATCTTTTCGTGTAACTTACGTCTTCCTTCGCATGCGTTGGGATCTCATAGGAAGACTCTCCAATTTAGGACGCATCACAATCGACATGAATTAATCTGTAGACAATTTTCCTTAGACGTAAACAGGATCTTATCTTTTATTCTAACTAAAAGTTTTTAGATTGTTGGTTGTCGTATGTTAAGCTTTAATTTTGTAGGTTTTCAGGATCAATTGTAACTATTCTGTCGTACCCTATCGGTATGGTAAAACTACAGTACCAATCCAAGGTCTTTCATTGGAATTGTAATTCAAGGAATGACAGTTTTGTTTTAATATGTTTTTAATAATATTCTTACGAAAGTTAATAGATTGTAGGATGCTTATTATATATTGTCTTTTTCTTTTAGTATGTCTTCTGCAGTAATAATCTTGCTTGCCCTTCTGAAAAAACTCATGGCTATGAAAATTTATGCACTGAACAGATGTGCAGAGTTGAAATCAATATACTGATTCGAATTTTTATCGGCTATCTATAATGAATAAAACATATAACTACAAAGATCTGTGACCTAAAAGCTAGTGATGTAAAATAAAACGACGAACATGTTGATATTTTAAATTATTCACTTATATTGGAATGCAATTTGCTGTAAAGCAAAGGTAAACTCTATGGTTATTAAGCTTCTTACAAAATATCTCAGGTTAAAATATAATTCAACCTAAGACATTCTAGTCTTAGGAATTATTCACGCTCGCTTTGTGTAAACTGATCTTAAATAAGAAATTAATTTTTATCTTCACTTTCCGTATTATAGTATCTGACGAAGTCTTCAGTCTTTCAATAAATGTAATCACTGCAAATAGCCTTATGTTTCATCGATCGGAATTACTCAAAAGACTTAATTATGGTTTAACGGTAGAGGTATTCATACTGTATATCCGAAGTATTATAAATTATTCATAAGTTAGGAACACATTTATGTATTATAGTGTAGATATTTCACATATTAGAGGATTTTATAAAGACTTTGAACTCATTTCACTTTTCATGTAGGTTTCAAAGAAACTAAACTGAGTCAAGTTTCACAACATAATCAAATCATATTTGTTTATAGGGTGATCTGCACATTATGACTGTATTTCATTGATTTATGTACACAGGTTGTAGAGTGAATCTTCTAAAGATACATTTAAGAGTCTCATCTCTTGTTATCGAAATGAATTTAGAACAAGAAGGATGAACGAGATCTATAAATTGTATTTATCTAAGAGATTTATAATAATAAACAAATTGAAATGCAAACCTTTGATTTGATTTTCCATTATTAAAATTGTTAGTGTTACGGTAGCCATTTAGAAACTTTTCTTCATTCCAAACACTGTCATCATTATTACAATTACTGATTTTTACTAGTTCATTTGAATAATCATAAAAATTATTGTTACTGTTTTGTTGAAATCCTGTTGAACTTTCAACTACTCTTTGAGATGAATAATTTGCTTGTTTATTAGCTCGCGTCGCTTCCATCATACGATTATCGAGTTCCTTAAAATGATAAGACAGAAATATTTGTCATGAGAAGTGTAACGACATTGGACATGTATTTCCAAATACTTTCATCTTGACTTGTTTTCAAAATCAACTGATTTTTTATAAACCCTGATATCTTTATTCCTTATTGTTCAAACTACCATAAAAATACATCGAGATAAATAGTTTTATGATAACACGTCTTAAAATATTGGTTAGTCAGTTATTTACCTTTGTAAGACGTTGGTTTTGTTCTGTTAACCTTCGAAGTAAATCTGTCAACTGTTCATTTTGACTTTGTAGATTTCCTTTATCTTCACTTACTTTGTACATATTCATTTCTAAATTTCCTAATCGTTGTTGTAAACTGAAAATAGCATTAGATTGTTTTACAGCGTTTGATATATTTCTTCGAGTAGTGTTTTCTAATAACAGATATAATTTTGAAGAAGCATTTAAGTTGAGATAATTTTGTGTTGGCATACATAGACAGACATTTATATTAACAGTAGTCAACATTTGAATGGATAATCTGACAAAAAATAAGCGCCAACTATGTAGAACATGTCATGTGTAAAAACTGTAGCTGAATAATCTCGACGATTGAAATCTAAATAATTCCATCATTTTATTTGACAAACTGTTCCGAGCTTCAAAACTATTCATGATAAATTGTGATTCCAATTATTTCACTGTATCGCACTAATTAAATTCAATAAGTAATCGTGAGACAGTGGAATAAATCAATTTTACAATGTCTCTTTTTCAATATCACAAAAGTTACAACCTTGAACATACTAATAAATTATAATTATTGAAGACTTATACAGAATAATTGAACCAATGTTCATGATACATATGTTATGTTCGATCTTTATTTTAAACCATTTGTGAACAGTAGGAAAAATATTTACAATAATTTACTATAAATGAACACAATTTTACCTAGTACTTATTTTATATAGGATTTATTGGCCAATACATTACCATATAATTCATTCATAGTAAGTAACAATCAGAACATTTCTTTTATACTCCTCTCTTATGAATTTTATTATGATTTGTTTTTACAAAAATGAAATACTTCCCTCTCATATATTTAATTTCATTATAATTTATCTAATATTTACAGAATGTTAATTTCTAAAGCTTATATTTCAATAAAATAAGAAATCTCAAAGGGATACACAGTAGATGATTCGCACAAAAGTAGTTTTGATTACAATATTTTAAATTATATAAAATGTTTAGAAGTTTATGTGTATGGGTTACTTGAAACCTCCTACTGATCGTACGAATTAAAATTGATCAGTCTAGTTTGACATATTTTTATACTGTGCGGATTTTCACGATATTGTCATTAAATTTTGAGTATTTTTAAGCAGAAATCGATGGTGGTTTATAATGGGGTTCAGAACGCTCATTTAGTTCTGGTAGGGACTAATTAGAAGTTGATCATTTGAAGTACTACACGACAATCGAAATATTTCAAACAAACAAGACATATGAATTAAAATTTATCCTATTAAACAAGGCACTGGCGTTCGAAGGCAAGGAGAAGAGCATGAACTTTGGAATGAGATTACACCCAACTGAAGAGTCCCCAAAAACATGAAGCTCACGTCTTATTCCAATGTTAGCTATCATTCACCATAACCTAAAAATGTTTCAAAAGTTTATAACCCAATGATGTTTTTCATCATCAGGGATGGATGAATGTTTTTTGTTAATTTTATTTTTTGAAATCGATACAACTAAAAGACGAACAGACCATTTAGTTTACCTTGAGAAGTTTTAAATTTTTCTTTAATTTTGTCGATGCTAACTGTTTCACAACTTTCTCGTTTTAGTGAAATTCTGTCACATTTTGACTTTGATTCATTCATCTAAAAGTTTATTTGGGTAATAAATACTGGTAAGATTAACGAATAAGCTTAAGTAGGACGAGTATGAAAAATAAAAAGTACTTGTTTATGTATATCTTGTGCTTATTATTAGGCACAACTTTACTATAGTTCATCCATATTCATCTACTACAGACAACAAACAGAAACAAATAATAAATATTTATTTGGTCTGTTTCCTTCTTCGCAATCATGTAAATATTATTGTATTAAATTACAGCTCACCATTTTTATGACATAACATTTCGAAAAAAAATGTTTTGTTGTGTAAAGTAAGCTCACGTTAACATCATACGTATATTTATATAACCTTCGAGATACATGCACGTTATTGGTAACAACTGTGGTCTATTGAATAGATGATGAGTTTGTTCGTGGCGATGCATTTTTGGTTTCACTATATTTTTTGTCTGATACTAATGAGAAAGTACCAGTTACATCGAAATCTAGATAAATGTGACATGATTTTTAAAATATCCACCTGGATAACTTCTAAATATTAGAAACTGTTTGGAAATTGATGACATTAAAAATTTCGAATATTTTAATGAATGAAGCAAAAAGTCAGAAGATCTATCTTTTTTCTTTCGCTTTGTGATAATTTACAGTCTTAAAAAATGAAATTCTACCCCGTATTACTGAAAAGCATACGCGTTAATTGTTTACTGTTTATTTATGTATGAATTTAATTAGTATAATCCGTCAACCTATATTACTACTATTTAAACGCAAAAGTATCTTAAAAAATTAATATGTAGTGGGACAAATTATTATTTATAGCTTGTGGAAAACGTTTTGTGAAAACATGGTGAAGGAACCATTACTAACCTGCTTTTTTAATTCACTGATAGCATTTTCACTTGCTTGTTTCTCATAGTCGACTGAAGTTAAACGTTGATCAGATAGTAATGACCCTAGTTACAAAGCAGTAAAAGAAAGTATAAAGTCCTATTATTTACTGAACAGATGATGCACTTCTCATTAGTTAAATTATTTGTTCACATTTTAATAGAATGGATATATATTAAATGTATAGAATTGTTCTACGCCATTCACATAACTGAGATTTCTTCACAATCCACTTAATTCTCAGTTCGACCGCTTAATCAATTTGATAAAATATTATTCAGTTGCCTATTAGTATGATTTATGTCACTATTAATTTTTTCTTACATAGTTTGAAGTATTGAAGAAAACAGCAACGGGGACATACATTTGATAAAAGTATTTACCAAATGTACTTTTTGTATTTTTGCACAAACAAAATTTAAGGTTATTTAAAACGTTTGTTTAAAAAATTAAATAAATTGTTGCAATTTTTTAATGAGTTCTATGAAATTATTAAAGGAGAACATGGCTTTGTGAATACAAATAGGACTAAGTGAATTACTTATTGCTACGACGATTTACTAGTTATAGTGTATTCCATTAAGAATATATATATATATATATATATATATATATATATATATATATATATATATATATATATATATATATATATATATAATTTCTGGCATCGAATTCTAAGTGAACTTGTGGTTATTAACTTTCCATGAAGATTTTCAACATACTTTAATAATTAACGGTCCAAAGAAAAATTTACAAATCATATTTTCTATACGTACGTAATGATGTGAAGAAATTCAGTAAGCTAGGAAATTGTTTATCCTGCTTGCAGCTGTACGTTTAGTTAAAATGGTGAGTTCACTCAAAATGTTGTTGAAATCAGTTGATGTAAATTTTGAAAAAATTGCTCACCTTATTTGAAGATGACAGACCCACATAGTACTTGGATATAAATCTCATAACTTATTTGTTTATAGTTATTTAGTCAAACTATTTTGTTTTATAGACAATGACATAATCATTGTTAATTACTATGACTTTATCTGTGTTTTTTAAAATTGATAACTAAACTAGCACAGTAATTAATATTAAATAAACAAGTAGTATAAAATTACCTTTCAATAAACCTTTAGAGTAACCAATTATAAACGTTTCTTCCAAGTAACTTTCCAACATGGTAAGTGTTTATAGGAAAGGTGCTAAATAATCGAACCTAAATTACTCTGTTTGGAGGTATGTGAATACATCTCAGATATATTATCCTATCTACTTTTAACTTTATGTAGTATTATATAAAGTTACCCAACGAAATTATCAAGAATTAGTCTATGAAACTCTAAAATGATAAACAAATTGTTTTTAAATAATATTTTTACATAGGTTTATATTTTAATCAATTGAATGAGATAATAAAAAAATATTCAAAAAATATATCAAAAGACAACAATACTACCTGATGATAATGGTTTTCTTAATGTTCTAAATTGTGTAGTGCATTTTTCATGAGTGTCAGATTTTATTGATTTCAATTGTGAATATTTTCCTGTACAAATCTGTCGTCTTTCCAAAAAGTCTATTTGTTCTGTAAGCTGAAATCGAAAATGGATAATATAGAAACATGTTTATCAATCCTGAGTAGACTAAATGAAGGAAACAGAAATTTTGATAGGCCTAAATCATTTATTATGAAATACATTACTTTTACTATAAAACTACCAAAGTCATTTTATAAAACTGACCTTATTTTTTAATGATTCATCGTGAAAATAATCAAAGATCGTAGTTGAAATTTTTATGTAACTGTTAAAACGTTGTATGGAATAAGATGATTAATTATCCAAAGAGCTTTACCTTGATCAATCTACTCATATTCAGTTCTAGTCAGTGACTGAGAGCACAGTTATTACGAGCAGTTAACACTAGTTATTCATGAAGCAAATTCGATGAATTGTCTAGTGAATATGGTTATCAGTGAACCTACTAAATAAAAATACAATTAAAACCTATACTACTGATAAGTAGTATTTTTCAAAACTACCCACTAAAATGAATTGCTCCACAAAGGTATCTTAAAAGTATAGGAATGTCTTTTTTATTTTATGGATTCAGACATAGAAAATAACATCCGGATCACTTTGTTTTGGAATTAATTTATTATTCAAAGTCTAAATGGACGTTTTACGTGAGCTGTCGGCCTACCAAATACTACACTATTTACGAAGTGCTATTTTTACCTTTATTTAATGTTATCACGAAGTTTATTAATGAAATTTTAGGCTTCTTCGAGCAGAACATTTTTGTTTATAGTGTTTAAGTTAATGCGTGTGTTGATATGATGGAGACAAACTTGAAGCATTATTTGATGTTTGTTCATTATTTTCAAAAATACCAAGAAAGAGACTATAACTACAGGATTCCACCATTTCATATTACTGCATTTGCCCCAAAATGAGTTTAAAAATTACTCTTACTTTGCATGAAAGGGGTTCGAATCAAATTTGATTACCAGTTATACAGACAAATTGATTGGGTGACCATGGAATTGTCACTAGAGCATTTTCGGTCATCTTTATAGCTAATCTTAAATAAGGGGAACTTAAACAAGAAATCGAGGATGCAACATTCTACAGAGGTTTGTTGAAAATGCATTTAATGTTTGTAATAATATGGACTACATCTCATCGTCGCTTTATCAGTTTAGTGAAGCACATGTTTGCATAAATTTTATTATGTAATATGAACATAAAAATCAGTTCGACTATTTAAACTTAATAACATAACGCATGAACGATGGAAAAGGAAGAAGACCTTATTCAAAAAATAAATATGGACAGGGTAATACCTAAATTATAAGTTTTGTTTTGTTGGTTACAAGTGCTTTTTATTCAAAACCCTGTTCAATAGAGCTTTGAAGTTGTGTTTGACCGATAAAATAAGAGAAGTAATAGCATGCATTGGAGAGTGCCTTACAAAAAGTGTAGATCCAAAACCAATTACTATGAAGTATAGAAAAACGATTACAGGAAGTCCTAAACAGACAACTGCTAACAGAAAACCTGTTTTCATCTGTCTTGAATTCAAAAGTGAGGAGATTTTTTGGCAAGATTGATTAAGGCAGCGCTAAAGATAGGTTTTCCTCCAGCCCATCTATTTTCGGTATATAACATCAGATGTTCCTTACATCAATCAAAAGTGAACCAATACTCTTTTGAGGTCAACTATAAATGTATTTACGAATTTACATGTACTCGCGAAAGTAAATGCATATGAAGGATTGAAAGACGGGGATCTACAAGGTTTTCGGAAAATATTTCCCGTAAATTGTCTGAGAGGAAGTAAATTTTTCATAGGTGAGTTCCATAAACACGTGAATGTCTCAAAAGCACTTATAATAATAAACAGACAGCGTACACCACTTTTATTCTGATTTGCAGAGGCCATTGTCATCAAGTGCTTCCAATCTGATTTTTGGATATCGAACGACAGTGTGGTAAACGTATCATTGTCATGGTAAGACAGTTATAGGAATGATGAATGACTAAGTATAATGAAATCTAGGAAATTAACTTTAACAAGAAACATTCATAGAAAGCATAAGATTTAGTCGTTTCGAACTAAACTTAATTGCTTATGGTATGTTATCAAAAAGTTTTTATAATAAAATTACAGAAGGACTCAATTAATATCTCAAAATTTAATAATTTTCCCATGAAGATTAATAAAAGTGAAATACGAGGCGTTTAACTGCTATATATAATCACTCGAATAAAGTACCATGGATTGACACTGCAGTTTTACTTTACCGCCATGGTACAACAGAAGAACAACACAAAATTAAAGTATATTACGAAACAACTAACACCCTCCCAAATGACGTAGTTCGTATAACGGAAATATCCCATGTATGTTAACACAAAATTTTGTCTACAAATGAGGATGACTCGGTTGCAATGTTTTACATATTGGAGAGTCATCTCGTGAAATTACGACTTGAGCCAACGAATATCTGAGGTACACAAAAACCTTCCTAGAACTAGGAAGACTTCAAACTAAATCGTGAATAGCAGTTGATGCCATTTTCAATAACCATCATGTTGATATTAAAAAAATCGAAATAATACATAAAGGCTTTTTCACATATTGCTTAATCTTACTACGCTCAACAGAAAAGAAGGCCTCAAAATCCATCTAACTTGGACCATCTATCTGAGCTACGATGTCTGGTTCTGTTCACATCTCACTCCAATATCATACATACAAACTCAACTCCGTTCTTTTGCACCAATAATGTCACATTTTTCATCGTTTAACATACATAAATACATTCACAAACATACTTAACGTAAATCACTTTGACTGGAAAGACATGGCATTGACTTGGTTAGATCTGCTTTTTGATTGATCGCATCAAATATTCTTGCTCTGATCCTTTGTACTAATTAAACTTAGATTAATTTAACTTTCAGAATGGGGATTTGTGGAGATTTTAGTAAGTTTAACAGTTGAATTCATGAGTCGATCTAAGCCAGATTACTGTTGGAAACCTGGAAGCGCTGAACGGCCGTTTCGATTAAAGTTAGGCATTAACACTGTTGGGTCGTGGATGTGCACTTCTTAAGAGTACCATACTAAAACGAAATGAATGTCTAATACTTCCAAGTGTTCAACGGTATATATATGATGATTTCACGTTAATATGCAGACCCCATTCTTCTCTGTTTATTGATAATCACTAAAACCTTTCAAACATACTTAAAAACGTTTCAGTAAAAAGCACTAGTAGAAAAACGATCGTTTTGATTCCAAAGTTTTATTGTTGTAAAAAACCTACCTCTCTTATTTGACGCTGAAAATCAGCTTTAACTGTGGATAATTCTTCAGTTTGCTCATTAATTATTTGTAGATAATAATCCCTTTCTGAAATGGTAGTTTCTAATTCGCTGACCTTTACAGCTTGACGGTCAAGGAACAATCGCACACAGAAAACAAGTAAAAAAATGATACATTTAATTTCGTTGATAACTTTATTAAAAGTAACTTCGAAGGAAAAATCAAAACAAAATTTTAAATTTCAAATTAACCACTAGAAATTATGTATTAACTTCTAAGCTATGTTTATGACATTGTGTGTTGATACATTCTTGCTCTGTGATAATAGTTCACAATTACAGCTTCATAACTATAAACGAAATTACTTCGGTCCTCTTCTTTTCCCTCCCCCGTTAATTAGAGCAAAAACACCAGTTTTGCAGATGAAGCTTTCCGACGTTGATCGAGCACGAAAACCGGTCAAAATATATTAAAATTATCGATTGTAAATCAATGGAAAATAACTAGAATATTCAAACTGACTAATTGTTATGAACTCAAAATATCGTAAAAAAGCATTGAAATTCTGTGAATAGTCTTTACACTGAATAATGTACTACAATAGAAGTCCAACCTAATCGATACTGATTTGCTTTTCATAATTTATAGTTTAAGATCTCATGTCCCCTACATGTGGGCTTTTAACCGATTAGGAATGTAGATTGTTTTAAATGACTTTATTCATAATGCCTTAAAAATATTTAATTCCGTATTAAGAGAGATTGACAGCTGAAGCTCTACAGATATAAGCGAACCCAAACAATGTAAATGGGAAAGATGGAATACAGTTAGCTGTACTTTACCAACTAGCAATTAATGGGTAAATCTGAATTTCATTTTACTTCTTTTAATTCGTCTCTTATTTAGTAAACAGTAACGATTATTTTCAATTGTTCTAACCGGTTAACTGAACTGAGTATAAGATGAACAACCAGTTCGGTCAGTAAAACAACACATTTATTTACTTATCCGGATTTTATGTATCATGTGTCACGTTTGATTTCGATCTATCAAATGATCCCATTTCATCATCAACCATAACCAGTCGCAATTTACGGTCAGTGGGATTTTTTCTCATATCAGATCTACATACACATACATACACCTGTTATCTTACAACATTCACCGCTTTTCCACATCAAGTGACTGATAAGAACCATAATACATCCTTTTTCTGAGATTATTAGCATGATTGGTCGGTTTACTGAGTTTACAGTTACATATGAACTATAAATTTATATTTGAATATTTTGAAGTCTTATTGTATTAGCTAGTGAAAGTTCGGACCCGATTGACGAGCGCGATGTTGGATTTATTTAACGTTTAATCGTCGAGATTCATAGGAATACAACTTCCATTTTAAGGTAAACTATTTAAAAATATTGAACACTAGATGACAGTCAATCATTCAGCAATTTTAAAGTAATTCTTCTTTTGTTAGTTATGCTTCATAACAATGAATTTATGATACCTGGCAAACTCATTTGTCATGTCCTCATTTCTTCATAAAAATGTCAACAATTTATCATTATGATAATTTAACAAAACCACCAACTCTTGAACTAGTAGAACGTATTTAAAGTTTCACTTCATAAAAAGAGTCTATCATATATGTACTATCCAACTGGGATTTTATTTCCTAATTAGTAAGTTCACAAAGATAAAATAACAAAAGATAATTGATCAACTTCAATTAGTTAGTAGTAAATATCTCAACGCTACGTGTTGGTAGCATACGTCTTAAATCTTTTGTGAGTGAACTTTTAAATGATCATGAGAGCATTCATTTACCAAGTGTCTTTTCATATTCACTAATACAACGTTGATTATTCCTAAAAGTGGATTTTAATTTGTCCAATTCATAATTCAGTTCTTTTATTTGATTTTTCAAAAGTTTTGTTTGTGCTTTATTCTCTCTATTCATCATTGATTTCTTTTTTAATTCACCAATAATCTTCATCACCTGTTGATAAAATATATTTTACTTAAATGAATTTAAAATTAAAGCGTATCGTAATATAGCATTATAAGTAGTATAAACTGTCAGTCTGTAAGTTCTATCACGATAAATGTTTAGAAGTAAAAACAACCTGAAACTCATCTAAAAATTCAGACTTTTGATAAGATTTTTGATTGGATGAAATGTTTATGTAACTCATTTCCCAATACATGTGAAAAAATTACTTAAAACTTCAGTTGGTTGCTGTGTATTAAGTTCAGGATCTCTTGATTGAAAATGTGGTGACATAAGAGGACTCGGTATTCAACAGAGAGCACTCAATCGATTTATACGAAACGTGAATATAGAAAAACTGGTTATCCTTTGAAAAACACTGTACGTTACTGTTACGTACTCTACCTGGTTACGGCAGAATACGGTATACAACTATCGGCACTCCAACGTGTAGAACTCCACAGTCGCATATCAAAGGGTGGAAGAAGCAGGGAAAAGTGGTTATTAGGTAAGACACCAAAATGTACAAAAAAACATGGGCATTTATAATATTAGTACTAGCTATGACAAAATCATAATCCAACCAATCCACAAGCAGGAAATTTATTCAATCGTCTAATCATAGCATGCCACGTTGATATTCCAGACGGTGCTATCAGGTCCTGATTAGATGAAATCTCTTGGGCTGCGCTAGAGCCTCTGGAGGCTTCGTTATGATTTTTGGATCCATCCCATCAATTACATGTCAGCCCCATCTAGATAACTACTGTAATCCTGAAATAACTAGCTGACATTAGTCTGCGATGTAATTTATGTTCTGTACATAAAATAAGGGAAAAATTAGGCATAAACTTCTTTGGAGCTGAATAATTATTATGTTTAGAATATGAGTTTTTGTTATCACCAGCTTGCTGTCATACTAATATTTATTTACATATAGTTCATGATCGATATTAGTTTATCAACCTGATACATAAACTAATTCTGTCGTATGCGCGGAAGGGTTAAACACAACTAATCATGATTTTACTACAACGTAACTATAAATGCGGGTTATAACTAAGCGAGCTAATAACGAGCGTTAAAATCGCTTAGTATATATTTAGATAATATAATAAATGGCTTATAACATCTGCGTTGCATACAAACGTAATCTCTTATTAACATCATACAATGCTAACTTATATGAATGGTACATAACATAATGTCAGGAATATACAAAGCATATTATTATTTATTATTTCAGGGTGCTAGAAACTTTAGTTCTTCATATCATGGTGATAGTGCAATTAAGTACAGATTTTAAATCCAGATTGACATCACCACTTAAACCAAAGGCGCTAAGGTTTTGTAGGATCTTTTGAAAAACATGAACCACTGGACTAATGATATGATATGAAATAATAATAGCTTTAGGAAGTAAAGCCACTTAAAAGTGTAAAGAATATAACCCAGATTAATTATCGTGATACTGTTTAATGCAATAACCAAAACAAAAGATCTAAGGAATTTTTAACACACGAAACTTAGATTCATAAATTTATAGAACCTTATACCTAACTTCTGAACAAACATAAAATTTGAATGTAGTATTCGTCACTAACTCAAATCGTTACATATAGACAAGAGAAGAACTCTATAAAGTATTGTTCTAATGACTATCTAAATAGGCTGAACAATTTCATATACTGAATCCCATTATTTAATTATTCCATAACTTATTAGTTTGTTATGGAAGCTTATGCATAACTAAAAATAAATAAATAAGTCTTACGTTGTCAACGAATTCACCTATATGGTTTTCCTCAAAAATTTGTTCCCATTTCCAATTTATATTCAAGTTCAATTCATTATTAATCATATTGTATAATCTTTTCATTGACAGTTCTATCGATTTAGCGAAACTTTGCAAGTGCTTATTAATTTTGTTTGCCTCACTCAATTCGTTTCTTGTTGTCTGATTATTTGTTATCTGTTTATTTAGACGGTCATCCAAATCTGCAATATAAGACTGTACATATATAATCATTGTGAATGTTCTGAGCAATTGTGAAATTAATTTTTACTACAATGAAGTTATGAGATCAAAACACAATTTAATAGCTGAGGGTTTTTTAACTGTTCCTACAAGTTTTTGTAGATGGATTAAGCTGACAGTCTTCTCCTATCCTCACCAGTTATAGCCTGACTAACCATTTCCTTTTTTCATTCTTCCTGAGTGTCTAAAAATCTATCAGATACACAGCTCCGTTTTCTGACCTCATTTTGATCGAAGAGCTAGTGACGTAGACGAAATAAAGATCCTACTTGTGTCCTGTATACCTTGTCGACAAATCTTGTCAATAATAATGTGGATAAGAAAGTAGAATAAGAGTGTTTTTAATGTTTATGTTTCATACGTGAGTCACGGTAGACAGACGAGAAGATGAAAGGGGGCAAAGGCCAACATGCCAGTTCAATTTCATTAAAACACGAATTAACTTTTTGGTATGATATATACAACAAACACATAAACACATACATACTATCATACAAAGTGATTAGAAAGTTCAAGCGTGCTCAAAAGTTAAGTTATATTATGTGATCGCTTAGCAACACTAAATACTACAGACATAAGTTGAACGCGACATCTTTATGGACTAAGTACTCAGAAAACAGCAGGAATCCTAAGTATATTCAACAATTACCAATAGTAATGAGATATAACTTTTTTAAAGTGTCATCCGAAAAAGATAATCCTATAGAAGGGAGAGTGTGGAATCCGCAGTCTTTTATGTGTGGAGAGAAAAGACTCTTGATACGAGGTATTGTGGTGTGCGGTGCTTGAGAGTTGATCCTGATAGACAGTCTTCCTATACACAAGCCCTACGGGTAATTTGAATGAAAAAAACGAAAGTGAGAAAGGAAGTCCGTTGAATTAAACGAATCGATATATATATAATTAAAGATCAGATACAATATAGGGGTAAAGTGTCTAAATTCTAAGGCATCTGGTTTAAACAGGTGAGCAATCCAAGTGTTTTACGAATTTCTTGTTAAGAATTTATAAGAAATTCTGAAAAGTGATTGAGATGCCTTTATGCAATCAGAGTTGACTACATACCATAAAGAATCACTCACGTGACTTTACGAAAACGAGTTTAAATGAAGGAAATGAGCAAGTTAATTGCACATGTCCTAGAATTAACTATTTACTGAAAAAAAAGATAAATTTTTACGCAGATCCTAAAGAAACTGAATTACTCATCAGTTTGAGTCAGAGTACATCTGCGCGAAGCTCGACACTCATGATAAATGATCAAGTATAGTGAAATCTAGGAACTAAACTTTAACTAGAAACATTCATAGAAAGCATACTTCACCAACTCTGAACTTGAAACCAATAACAGCATTTCTACGAAATTACATTCGATGTATCTTGCGGTTATCATTTGACTGCCTATGGAAGTTACATTAAAAGTTTTTTATCCATAAATAAATCAATTCACTTTATGTAATCGTATATAGTCTTACTTTTGCTAATTTCGTAGCTTTTAACATAATTTTTCAAGGATCAAGATTTGAAAACGTTCTTTCACTTATGGACTCTTTGAAAGTTATTGATTAAATAACTGTATGTTACGCCAAATAAAGTTAGAAAACATACTTGTTTATACAGTCTGTGAGAACTATGATGGCTTTTGACTGACATTTTTAAGACCAAGGGACTTCGAAAATGAATGAAATTATCGTTCTGGATTTGGTCCCAGAATAAACTTACTTCTGTCGCTTCCAGTTTTGCACTTAATGTGGATAACTGACTTGTTGCTGAGTCTCGTTCATATTTCATCTTAACCAGTTCTTTTTGTGTTGTATCCAACACGGATTCTAATGCTTTCCTGGAGTTTATATCTGAATCCTGGAATAATTGTCCTAATTTAATGGGAAACTAACTATTATACAACGCACCATTGGTTTAGTAGAAATAGCTCACATAAGAAATTTTCACCCAGAAACCTGTTAGCAGTACTTAACATCAAGGAACTAAGCAAATACATAGGCTAGTCAAAAGCCAGATTTACCTTAAAGATATTTACGAACACATATACGGTAGACTTTATCCTGTAGTTGTTACTGTCAGTAAGTTTTAAACAGAATTGAAACCATTCCAGAATGAAATCATAGAATAATTAAAGAGTTCACGAAATGAAAATTTAGTTTGCTGGTAATGCTGGTCATCGATATACACTATACTAAATTAGAGAGAAAATAACAGAATCTTTGACCAGACGTTGCTTCCTAAGTATTTGTATGATACATTTTCATTTTTTAAAACCTAAAGTTCTGAAAATAGTTATGTTTTAGTGCTGATCATAAGTCAGTTTTTAGTGTTTTTAGTAAAAAAAACTTATCTTAAGCTGCTGAGAAAAAACAGTAGTTTAAGAGAAAAATTTTGGTGATATTGGATTGTCATGGATGCATGAATAATTCATGAAGCTCTCGTTGGCTTTCTAGAAAACATTATTTACAAAATTTCTATGATCAGGATATGTTTTCTGTTGGCCAATATTTTATCAAAAAGCAAGACCGATAGCCATAATAAATTTTCAGTGATCTAACACGAGAATGTAAAATATTCAGACGGTTTACTGGACACATGTTGAAGTTTTAGTCCAACTGGCAAAGAAAACAATAAAAAAAGATGTTACTAAAATGATTTACATTCACAGGACAGATCCTAATGTATTTTCAAAAAAGCACAACTACAAGCTAACTAGTTTAATTATGTGACTATGTTTTATGATATCTTAATCGTTATTCGTGTACTAAATACTGAAACAAAATAGTATGTGTGTTATTTGTCAGCTAATGAAAGAATAACCAAAGACAACGGTGAAAGTTCTAAAGTAACTAGTAGCCCTTTACTTCTGAATGTCAACAGACTTTCAGCTTTATCATAAGTAGAAAAAATCTTACATTTTGTTTTGTTGTGAAATTGGACAATTTTTTCTCCAACTCCTGAATTTGTTCACACTTTTCAGTTATTTCTTTCTCGTATTTCGACTTAGCATTGGCCACTTCTACACTTAGAGTTCTTGCCTCTAGTGTTGCTCTTTCGGCACGCACAACTGTATTATCAAGTTCATCTTGCAGTTTTTCACATTGTTCCTGAAGGCTAGAGCAAAATCATTCAATCACATAGCATGTAAAATATCTACTGCTTACAACTCTTAGATCAAATAAATGCATAAATTCATTAAATTTGAAGCGTTTCAAGTAAAGTCTGTGATTTTAATGGGATAAATTAAATAACCAGACCAGAATAATGTATGCAAATACATAATATTTTGTAGTTCCGTTAACATAAGTTTTGAACCTTTCTAGTGATACTGATATAAGACTTAATTTTTTAAAAGGAAAATCATAGTAATAAGTAATTATTTTACTGTACAATATAATGGCAGCTTTCTTATTGATTTCAGGTAAAACTACCTAATAATCTTAAAGTTTCTAAACATTACCTATCACATAGACCGATAACTATCGAAACGTCTACTGATGTCAATGAAAGAACTGAGCTGGTTATTACAGACAAAAGAATATTCATTAATTTTCAGTTTAATAAACTAAATTTCGTAGACCATATGCATTATTTCAGAAGTGAAAATTTAGGCTCTTAATGTGTTATATTATCATAAGTTTTCAAGCTTTTGTGTTATTACATATACATTCGTTTGTGAGAAACAGCAAGTACAATAAAACGACAACTGATTTTCATCTAGAAAGGCTTTTTTTATTTTCTATAAGTATACGAATGACCAATAAAATTTTTACTTTTCCATTTCCTAGACCATTCAAACTTAAATTGACTGAATTTATAACCACTGGTCAGAACAATTATAGTCATACCTCTGAAACTTACAGTTTTTCATTGATTTGGTGTTTTTCCGTATTCAGTATGGTTTCTGAAATCTCTATTCCTACAATCAGAATCGGAGCTAAGGTTTCGAGACAGTTGCCTAATGTAGTAACCAAAGTATGCGGTTTAAAAGAACAGTTAACACTTTAACATCAAAGTCTAGGTGATGTTGTAATTCATCATTTAAATAATATTTCAGATATTACCTATTTAAAATGATTCTACGCTCCATGCGTAAGATAGATGCCACTCAGACCTAAAACATGCAGTTTGCTTTTTTCGAATAGGCAAAACTATTATATTTATGTAATATGTAAAAAAAAATCATGTGAATTAACGTATCTTTGAATTTCAAAGGCTGTTAAATGAATTTCCTATGTATGAATATGATAAGGTATTACTTCTTTAGGATTGGTTCATTGTGTCTGAAATGAACTACAATAAAAAGTGGTAGAATAAATCCGAAAAAAAGAACGTGATTAAGTCGATAATTTGTATTATTTTTATTTCTTTGTTCTAAGTTAGTTATTCAAACTTTACTGCCAAATTTAACGAAATAAACCAAATTGTTTATTCGTTAACAAATTTTCTACTACAAAACTTATCAGCATTTACTAATCCCATAAATGCTGATATGAAAAGCCGCTTTTTAACACAAAGACAATTCTGTATCACACCTGATATACAGTACAGAATAAAAGGATTATTATTATTCCTGTTACGCCATTGTTTTTAATAAAATAAAATCTCATAATCAGTCGTTTAAAATGTAAAACGATCTGTTTTCCACTCCATAGACTCGGCAGTTAAATATATCTGGAAAATAGTCTTACAAAAGACATTTAAAAACACTTACGATGACTTGTGTTTCTCTTCAATTCTAAAAATTTCTGCTTCATGCTGACTTCGCATTACATCTATTGTGGTTTTCAGTTTTTCATTTTCTATAATTTGTAAATGTTCTTTCTCTTCTAATGTCTAAGATCGTAAAATAATTTTTTTTCACAATTAAAAACCAATTTTTTCTGATAAATGAAATTGTTAATGAGTTCAAAGGTCATTTGTATTTAACATCTATGAACAAGGAAGTTTAAGCTTAGTGATTAATTTACTTAGATTTTGTCTGTTGTGTTGAGTTTAAAACTGTCTTTATGCAAACTGATCTAAACAGACAGAGAATAGTGTTTTTAACCCTAAATGCACAATATTTACTGACATATTATCACACGAAGTTGCAATCGCTTAATAACTTGCGTGAAATTAAATGAAGTAATATTCAAAAATTCAAGGATCACGGGAAGAGAAATCAGATATTTTATTATTGTTGTCCAAACAGCAATCTTCACTATTTTTAGCAATTTCTCTTTTACCTAAACCAGCTTGTGTTTCTTGGAAATCTACTAAGTGAACTAGTTCCTGTTAAATTTACAAAAATGTCCAACTCCATAGCTTTAGCATCTTTCTCAAGCTTTTTTATTAATTTGGGGAGTCAAAAATATCAGTAAACAAGGGCAAGCGATAAAACTTCATAATTTTATTTGATTTGCATATCACTGTACTCTACAATTCAAAATGGCCGGTTTAAAGTAGAACAGAAACTGGATGATAAGGACAAAGTACTTTAGCTTTACATAAAAACTTATCATTACTTTATCAGAAGTAACTAGTCTAACGGATACATCTTTATAACTAATTTGCTTAATTTGTATAAATAACTACTGTTTCGAGTTTCACTGTAGGCAATGCTTCCCGAAATTCAATTACATTAAATCTAAAATTCACTTATAAGGATAAACACAAAGTGGTAGCTGTTTACTTGATCTGGGTTGATGAAAATTTAGATTAAAAGAAAATCTTTGAAATATCCCTGACTGACAGACAGTTTACAACGAAATCCAAATCAGAAACTTCAGGTTTCTGATCTAATAAATCAAGCATTATTTTACCTATGATCCTAGAACGATATAGCATTCTATTAAAGCCTTAAATGTGAGACTACTATGTGTTCATTTTGATTCTTAGTGGCAGACATTTTCTTAAAGAATTCACTTCATTACAAAGCATCCTTAGTTGAAAGGGGTTTTTTTGCAAAAATAATTTAAAAATTATTACTTATCGATAGATCAATGATGAGCAACGTTTCAAACACCAACAAAAATGATATTGATTTATTTATTTAAAAAAAATACAAGCTGGAAATCTAACAAAATATTTCTTTATATACTAAATACTACTTGGATAAATTTTCTTTCTCTCAGCTCTACTTACTTTTAGAAATTTGTTAAAATTACTGTGTATATATTCAATATCTTGAATTTCGAAATTTATTGGTTCTATTAAATTATTATTGTGATCAAATTTTTGTATAGCTGAATTGATGTAATCAAGAAACAATTTATAATTTTCGATTTCTTTGTTAGACGCTGCCAAACGTTCATTCATTGCACACATAAGCTATAAGAATAAAATTTATGATCAACTTTTTTAAAATCTTTTTTTTCAATGCAATAAATGTTTTAAATTCAGTAATTTAAAGCCAGTTTAACATATTGATTCAACAGAACATATATCTAGTCTTTTCCGAAATATGACCATAAACGGTTTTCACTAAGACTCAGAAAATTTTGAAATTGTTGTTATTTAATTTATTATCTGTGCGAAAATTCCTGATTACTCCAGTTTTTTCAAGTTAGAATGAATTTCAAGTAAACAAATTGTTTAAGTTTTATTTTAACGAATCGACTAAAATAGGGGGCGAGGTCGTGGATGCGCACTGCTGAGGAGTCCCACAATAGGATGAAACGGCCGTCCAGTGCTTCGAGGTTTTCCATGGTGGTCTAGCTTCAACCGACTCATGATCTTAACCATTGAAATTACTACAATCTCCACAAAAACCCATCTGATATTAAAATAGAATAGTTTGTTATATAGAATGAAACTGAATAAAAGTCTGATTTTCAGGAATTCATCAAATTGTTATTGTTGAATTTGAAAAGTTGTATCACTATTTACGTGCAAACATTTTAAATCCACTATCTTTATGAAGCGATATCTTTATTGAAGGTAATTTTATTGATTTATAACAAAATTAATTTCATTATGGAGATACGCTGTTTCAAGTTTTTTTATAAAATTATATTTATCACATAAGTAAATTAAAAATATTCGGACAGTTTTGTATGTGAACGTCTACTCCCTTGACGTTATATAACTTTAACTCTCACTGACTTATATTTCATTTTTTCCCTATTGGAAGGAGAATTTCAATAAACATCATTGAACCAAACATTATTTGACTGCTCTAAGCCAAAATGTCTATAAAATTTTAAACTGTTCAGAAAATTTTGACACTTTGAAATAGAAAGAATTTATTTATTTTTATGTCACATATACTTTTAGGATGTCATTCGTTTGACATCTGTTTACATCATTTAGAAATCTGATGGAATACATTTATACACAATTAAATGGGACCTTATAGAATTCAGGATTGATCGTCGAGACAAAAATGTGAATGGTAAAAAACCTGAAGTAACTCTAATACTAACTATATGACAGACATCTATCACTGAACTTCAACGTTTGAAAAGTAAGAGACCGTTAAATGAGCAAATATATTCAACTAAATGTTACTAATGAAGAGCTATTACAGGTAGATAAGAAATTTTATCGATAAACTAACAGGCCCATCACTGCCGAGGAGTCCCATACTAGGACGAAACGGCCGTCCAGTGCTTCCATGTTTTCCATGGTGGTCTAGCTTCAATTAACTCATGATTTCAACCAGTGAAATTTCTAAAAATCTCCACAAAACCTATTCAGATTCATTATAATTAACTGTACAAAATCTTCACTTCGAAAATATTTATGTTCAAATCTTATTCAGTAGAGATCTACTACAAAATGACTATTTAGCAAACTTCAGTGTTTTATATTGGCACTTTACAGTTGCTTTAAAGACAAACTTGTTGACCAAATGTTTATGACAGTTGATTAGTAATCTACAGAACTTTATAGCTTTAATTATTTCGATAATATACCATACACTTTTGAGGTAATTTTCATAGCAACCAGACATCATGCCCTCTATTTTTTGTCATTTGCTAACTTGTGATCTTTGATAAAACTGATTTCTTCAAGATATAGTGAGTGGCTGTAAACTGTAAAGTTTACTGAAGTAAAAGTTGAACAGTAGCTTAGACTTCAGAGAGTAAAAATTAGATTGTTTTGAAAATTTAATGATATTGAAGACTGTGGACCGTGGAATACCGGCAGATTGACTAGCTTTGGACTCTAAAGGTCCAGAGTTTACTCTTACATAGAATTATTGATGTACACAGCTGGGTATTTCGAAATCAGGATAACATAGTGGTCTAACTTTAACTGGTTTTTTACGGTTCTTCAGTTACTCTCAGTTCAAGATTAACAAATTTTGGCTGGACTGAATATATTTTAAATCGAAAAAGTTGGCTTCATAAGAAATGGTGGGTTGCTTTAAGAATAGTATAAATGAATTCGTAAAACAATTAAACTACAAAATGTCGTACTAAAATAATCACCTCCCAGCAGTACACAACAAATGATTCTGAAGTCCCGTCAACTTATGAGGCTGTGTTGACATCAATTCATTAACAGTATAATAATAATAGTTTGAAAAAGCAAATCAGATAATAACCAAAATGAAAGTGGTTAGGACTGTTCCATATTTTTGTAATTAAACTTACTCTTTCTTGTTCAGCATTAGTTTCCAATAACTGATCCACACAGTATTTCAAATGCTGGAATTGCATTCCGCTTTGTTTAGATTCCATACTTGTTTTGGTGATTGCTTGGTCTCTCTCTTGAGAAACTGCTTCCAATTGGTCACGAAGTGATTTGACCACGATGGTTAGTTCACGCTGCTCTTCAAGACGTTCTTTACTAAGCTATAAAGTAAATAGTATCATTTAATTGTTTAGTCTGATTTTAAAATCCCATCTTAGATATAATTTATATTTTTTAAACAATACAATCATGTTATGTATTTTAACTAATGAAGCTAAAACAGTTGCACAACTAAACAATCTACTCAACCTTCCATTTCTTTAGAACTATCAAGTCAAACCTTGTTAATGTTATTGGTAAAATTATTATTAACTGAATCAAGTTATCTGAAATGAAAATATGTTTTATACAATCGTCGAATAGCTAGTAAATGTTGTTTACATAAAAACATCGTTGTCAGGTCTTTGATTCCCAGGTTATTGTAACTTTCGCGGTGATCTATTGAAGAGGCCCAATACCCACTGAGAATCTTTTTACAAGAATTTATTTACAAATGTATATTCTCATAACAAAACACCACGAGTGTGTCAAGAACCCAGATTATCTAATCTAGCTTCTAAGTCCCATCAAATTACGCATTCCCATTTTCAACCTTTTCAGCAAAATAGGAACTCATTATTTAACTTCACCAAAATTTAGATAGATTAAGAAATACTAAAAGATTAAAGACAAAATGAAAGAAAGGAAAACATCAACAGCAAAATCTGATTTTAATGATCTAGGAGTTATTATTAATCTACCGGATGGAAGCATAAGTACAAACGACATCACCATTCGTTGAAACTGATAACATTTTAGGTTACATAATAACCTGTCAGTACTTTGAAAAGCTTTCTGATCCTAGGACTAATATTCCAATCACTGTCAAAATAACGGTCTCTTATATTGATTAAATCAAAGAAACAACTTACATTTAGACTAACTAAAAATACGTTCCACCTAGTCCTTCAAAAGCGAAATTAAATGCTCTTTGCTTACTACAAAGTGTTTAAACAATCTTAGTTACAAAAGCTGACAAAGGCAAAATAACGGTGATCATGAACAAAACGGACTACAGAAAAAGCCCTTGCAAATCTATCTACGTAACCATTTCTAAAGACTAATTCAACAAACCTTCAAACGATTACCAATAAAGGTGAATCAGATACAGATTAGCTTTTAAAACGACTAAAGTCATTCATTGGAATCTCCTTATGATATACTCTGTTTCTCAAACCAAACACAACACCAGGTTTTCGTGGATTACCAGAAATGCATAGGCCCAACACTTGATTAAGACCCAAAATAAACTTTGTAAACAACCCTACGTACAAATGATGTAAGGATAGAAGCTGCATATTCAAGCCACTTCAACACAATCTAAACAATACTACCAAAAATTTGTATGATTTGAAACCACTGATTTCGTGGTTGCATAACGGAGAAAACGAAACAGTGGTGTGCTAAAACTTCATATCATTCCAAGTGATAGGTGCATAGACTTTATTAATGGTTTACCAGATAACTTGAATATTCTGTCTAACGGATTACCACTGAGCATTAATTTAATCATATTCTGTAAACTATGCTTGAACTTAGCCCTATTCAATTTCAAAAGGACGTTTTACAAACGAATGGATGTAGACGCTACGAGATACGTGTCACCGAATATTTATAAGTTATCGATTTTTGTATAGAATCGCTTACTTTTTCCAGTGTCCCCAAACTACGTAACTGGCTCAAATAAGTAGATGACATATTTATCCTTATTAGAAAAGATTTGTTTTGAGACTTATTAAAACTTACAATTACTTCCCCAGAATACACCAAATTCACTCTCAAGAACGAAAATAAACTTGGTAAACTGCCTCTTTTAGAATATTTAGTCTAAAGGAATTCTAACAGAAACCTAAATTTAGTTATTTACTGAGAACCGACTCATTCGACGTTTTGCACAGAACCCAACTCCACAAATTCATTCAGTCAGGTATGTCTCTGGCTCTAATTTGTTTAAGGACCAACAGAATTATCGCGTCAAAAGAAAAGAAGTACAGAGAATGGAAAATTGTAATTGGCATCTTAGGATTAAATGACTAGAAATATGCTAAAATGAAATGATATGTTACTAAATAGCAGTGAGTCAAATGAACTATCTTGGACTAATACAGTAGTTTTACTATACCACCACGGCATAAGGAAAGAATTACAACGAATCCTTAAACCACATTGAGTTAAATTTCTATGTAAAACAACCAACACACTTCAAGTACTTTATTTTGAAAGCAAGGAAAATCCTCTTTGACTTTGATGCAAAATTGTCTAAGATTAAAATGTATAGATTGTGATCCGTTCTATAATAAAAAGTCATGACATGAAATCACGACTCGAATCAAAGAACCTCTTAGCTACGCAAAATGACCTCCTAATAATCTTGTCAAATTTTATAACTTTCAAATCAAACCAGTAGCACCATCAGTGAATACTATTTCCAGCAACCATAAAACCGGATTCATTAATTTAGTGATAGCTCATAAGAGGTTTCACTAATGTATAGTGCTAAACCTTACAAGGCTCAACAAGAAAGGGGCTACCATCTGTTCAACATAGATTACGTACCCAAAAAGCAGTACCTAGTTTTATTTACACCTCCCATTATTAATACACACAAATTTAACTCTCCTTTCTTGCATTCAAAACTTCATACTTCTTCAAACTCATTACAACACAAACAAATACTTATAAGTTTGTCTCACAAAGATTCACTTTTAATCCGAATAACATCAACATGCATCGACCTATTTTGATTATATTCAAAATATTTTACTTTGTTTCCTGTATGTTGTTCAAACCTATCCTAGTTCAATCCCGTTCTTATCCTCTGAAGAATTGACTTACACTAAGCCGAGGAATGTTAGAAATTCAGTTTTACACACACAGAAATATTACAAATTTTACATGATTTTTATTTCACAACACTATGTCCTCATGAGTCAATCTTTTATACAAACAAAAGCAACGATCTTCCACGCATCATGTATATTATTGATGACCCAAATAAACCAGTAATCCCAGTATGATAATAATTAGTTTCTGTAAGTGAAGCCAATAAAAGTAAATGTCGTAATTATGGTGTTTTAAACTTTTGCCAGACTCCGATATTATATTTCGATTATACTCTATCCAAGTTTAAAGATTTTGTAGCTAAAAGAATAAATTATGCGAAATATGTTGTTCTTATAATAAACTTCTTAAATTATAATATTTTATCATAAAAAACTGAAATACTGCCGGTATATCTTACCCTAAAGAACTCTGTTCTAAAGTGTTCAGCTTGTAGTTTCGCATCACTCAACTGAATATGAAGATTTTTGTCGCCATGTTTGCTTTCAGATGCGTTCTTAGCTAATTCGTAGTCTTTTCCTTTAAAAAAACATTCGTTTGATAAGTCGTAGTCCTTCTGAACTTTTTTATATTTGTCTTTTTCCAAAAAAGGTTTTGTTTCGAAACCACCATGAAGCAATATTGGAGACGAGTCTTGATGTCTGTTTTCGTAATCAACCATTGGTTTTATCAGAAACGTTTTGACAGCTCACAAGTTTTTCTAAGATCTATCAGGTAAATTGAAATTCTTATAACGTCTAGAGATTAGGATAAATAGAAAACATAAACGAGTGTTATTTATTTTAAAACTTCAGAGGGACAAGGAACCAGAAAATTTATTAAATTGACATTTTGTTTTAATTTAAAAACAATAAAAGTTATCCAACTAACTATGTATTTTATGTATTTTATACTATTCAAATCCCATACACAATTTCTTACTGCTGAACTGTTATTTTATACAATACTAGCATACAGTCAACATGTTAATCCTTTTTAGATTAGTGATAGATTTTTCCGATACCTTACTTCTGTTGGTCTTTTTATTCGGATACTCAAACAAACCACATGATTAGAAAGGGTAAAATGTTTAATATCGTAACTATATCCTAACGGTTGATTAGCTAGGGATAAAGAAAAACGTTATACTGATGTTACACAGTCTCAGCGTTTCGAAGTATGTTTTTAGACAATTGACAACCTTTAACACTTTAATTAATCGTTTTCAGGTTGAAGAACTGGTTTGAAACTTCACTGTGACAGCCTAATCATTTTTCAAGCCTGTGATTGTTGAAAAGATGCATTTTTCGGTTGTTAAAACTAAACCACTTTTCCTTGCTAAATTGGCTTGTCCTGTCACCACCTGAAAATGACTTTAAAAAATTAATGGCATAAGACAACACTAATGCCGATCTAATTTATTCATGAAAACGATATTCATTTGGATACTTTGTTACGTTGTCAATATATGAATGTACTACAAACCATTTCCCTCATGTAAATTTTTGACTCTATTTCCATAAATGACTTGTCAAATAACACCCAATGGATTCAGAATATCACTTTACCTTGTTATATTACTGACTTCAATATTCACCTTATGAAGATAATTTTGCCTAGGAAATTTCCCCTATTGCTAAATGTTTTCACAATTACCATGAGAACTAAAATCGACGAAAACAAACGAGGCATGGCTATGGGATTCACACAGTTCATAGTAAATAACCATCCGTCTTTCGTAACTTTTATTGTCAGATAACATGACGTTTATGAATTTGAAACGGTGAATAAATTGCTGTAGTTATTAGCTTTTTATGTCTCCTGAAGTGTTACTGGCCATATTACTGTACAAAACTTAACTGAAGGCGCTCAGTCACACATCCGCATCAGATCACCATTGAGTATGTCGTGCTACGCACCCCTGCTTTCAACAAGCGGGCGTGTATTATGAACTTCGTGACATACCGACTACCTCCAAAATACAGCTTCGAATTCCTTCATTCCTGGATTCAGGTTTGATTTGTTTTGGAGTCCTTAGACTATACATCTTTTACTGATGAAAGCGTTGTCAAGAATGAATATACGTGACATATTTTTTATGAGCCACATAACTCAAAATCACCCTTCCAACGTCTGTAAAACTCTTTGTTATACCGATATGTCTTTTGATTCGGAGTTATATTTCTTAAGTTTAGCTCTCTTGGGATAAAGAATTAGATTATTCATCAACCGGTATATGGTCAGAATCCAAGGTAGTATTGTCGCAAATTAAATAACCTACTTTTACGACAAATTTTCATGAGATGGTTAAAGTCGACACAGATTTTACGAGATTACAAGGACAATATCTATCCTAATATAACCACTACTGTGGCCTTAGAAACACATTTTTATTTTGAAATCGCAAATCATTTACATGTTTTAAACAACTTCAGGAATAAGGATAAACAGGATAAGTAATCTATGTTCAATTTAAGGAAGACGGGGAGTTGGAATTCCTTTTTTAATCCTCCTGATCGGTATCATCTTGCTGATTTGACTTTCTGACGTATATACAAAATGTATAAAACTGCTACAGATATTCAGCAATTCACAACACCTTTTCATGTAACACTTTTACAGTCGGAGTATACCAATTCAGTTAAATCAGATTTCAGAAATGAAGGAGTTCTAAGATATATCTGAAAATCTATCTGTATGTCGAGAAGCATTCGGTCTAAGTTGACTATCAGTTGCAAAATAGTACAGAGTACTCATTCGTGATCTGGTGCGGGTCTGTGACCGGGCTCATTCGGCCAGGGTCTTTACAGTAGAACTAAGGGAGTCAGCATTGGTATCGAAGACATACAGAACTATTTATTTAGGAGATTCATCTGCCGCTACATCAGTTTACGCCGTTTGGCAAACCTCTTGTAAACTGAAAACGACATTGTCACCTCTGTTTCAACATTGATAACATTTTTTCACGAATATAGCTGACATGAGTCCAGAATAACACTTTTGGTTTCTCATGTTCTCGTCGATATTTTTTCTTACAAGTACTGAACTCATGTACAGCACATGACGTGTATTATCTTTTACAGACAACTTTATCATACCACTTTCACCCTTCATCTGTAGTCAACAAACCTAACTGATTGTAACAGAGATCACCATTTCTTCGAACTCTGATCAAAAACTTTGTATGAAGTAACGATATATTTTCACGGTTATACTTCTGTACTTTCAGTTGACCTCCTAAGTATAAATATAAATAGAATTCGGCACTTGTGAACTGTAAATTATCATTGGAAAGGACTGACATTCAATCTTAGATCGAAGACAGTGCGAACTTCAGCATCAATCGATAATACACTTATCGTATTACTACTGAAGTATTATTACATTTTCTGCAGACTTAACGTTGCCTATCTGAGGAATTCAATCGCTTTTCAACGCAATGTGTTTCAAGAAGGCTTTATAGAACTCTAAAATGTTGTGAGTCACACTATTAAACGAATGGACTAATCCAACATTCCCAGGTTTGTCATTACTCGCCAACTCTTTTCCATTTGTTTTACAGCTTAGTAATACACGGAGGATTGATATTCATCGTTTGGCAGCCTCTAGCACGATTGCTGTCAACGTGTTTAAAAGCCGTTCAAATGGTTGTTGAATCTGATGGGGGAGTATTGTAAGGCCAGTGAAATGTCACTGAGCCTAGCCAAATCATACGGCGGTTAGATCACTGAATAATGAGCAGTCCGTCTACCTCCGTCAAGTTCAAGGACAACGAACACGCATAAGTTAATTGCATACCACGTACTGATCTATATGGTGGTGGTCGCACTCTGTTTCTCTTACCTACTTTAACTAATATATTTCTGTAATGATGTCGTTTGTGTTTAATGGTTTCCAAAGCAGCCATAGTACTTTCGTGCTATGGAAGGGCAATCCACGTTAGGTTCTGACCGCGAGACGTGACATCAAAGTTAGCTGATTTGCCACACTATATCCGTCAAACTTGAGTAGGCCCCCGATCATGTGACACACATCATCTACGTTAGCGACCTATATTTACTTGCTTATGATCTTACAGGAAATTCGATAAATTACAGTATGTTAGTCCTGCTGCTGAGAACTTATACTGGGTTTATTTACAATATATCAACATTTCGAACGAAAAGTTACTATTCTGTAATTTGAAGATCGTAATCAAATCAACTTTAGTCCGTATAACGGGAATAGATTTAGTTGAGCTAACCTATCGCTGTCACGGCTTTACAGTCTCAGGGGTTAACTTGGGTGCTGCTTTTTGAACTTAATCCCTGTTCTAATGTCTTCTTGGAAGAGCTATTATTATTATTATTATTATTATTCACAAACATCTTATGGGTACATAAGTGTTGCGAAGAAACCATTTCGGGTTTCTTCAAAAAATGCAATAATACACTATTTTCAATAATGTTAGCATTATACTTGCCATATTTTTTATTAAAAAAATTAGAATAAAAATAGTAGAATATTAGTAATAATAAATCGGGTCGTTGTAATTGAGAAGAATACTGAATTGAGTTTAAAGAAGGAAATAGAGAAAGTAAGGGAATAGAAATAAAGGAGACGTGAAATGCGCAAACAGTCTAATAGGCGTGTTTATGAACACAGAACAAGAATAAACGACCATGTGTGTATCGTCAAATTAGTAACAATAAATAATTAAGAAAAAAACTTATGTACAGCTGTATGGAACACTGTTGTTTTGGAATAACGAGCTATGTTAACAGTGTCATTATTGCATTGCCATCTAAATAGCTGAAACGTTGATTTAAGTAATGGAGGTTTCCGGAAGTTTTAGTAGCTAATGAATGGTAATGTGCATTAAATTCTAAGTAATGGGATGTCAAACGCTGTTTAGGCAATCTTTAACACCTCGTTAATCAGCCTGTATTCACTCGTTTTATGATCGTTCCGATAAACCTTTTATATTTCTCTCAATCTCCGCGTACTAAACAGACTTGTATAAGTATTAAAGATGATGCTCAGGGTTCTTGAAATGCTTTCGGTCACAAGGTGGTCTTTTTTAAGTCACCTATATACTCGAGGACAGCAATACTGTCTGACGGAGTTCATAATAAACATTGAAATAAAGGCCCCGAACTGACTGCCCGACTCTACAATCGGTAAACTATTGGTTATCAATATCCTTCGGGAGTGAAGAAAAAATATTATGTTTACTTACTTACATGATGCAAAATGAATCTGTTGAAATTTTCTTCAGAAGTCATCTAAAATAACTGGATAGAAACGGACTCTACATTTACAAGTTCAACGTTAGTTTAAAAAGCATTTTCGTCACAGCTGGCGCCTGATCTTTAAACCACATAGATAAAAGATATCTGGATTTTTCCGACGAACAGTACTTTGATTGGATGGAGTGGAATATATGTGTAGTCTGCGATGTAGTAGATTCGGAACGTCCCACTTTTGAGAGTTGACATTTAGAATTCTTTCCAAAGCCGTGGGTCGTCATTAAAAAGTAATTTTTCAGGTGCGTGCAGAGGGAGGTTATCGCTATGAGCTAAAAACTGGGAAAGAATAAGACCTCGTTAGCCTGTTCTATGGCTTAAATAAAAGAATAATTTACTTTGACTTTGGAGTACCATCTATCCATGTATGAATTATCCCGTCTGCTAGTAGCGGCTGGCCTTCCCTCTGTCTGAACTTATTGACGAGGAACATGAAGTCGAAAAGGATGTTTCGGGCTCGACAGATCCGTTTTTCATATCTCATTTTTAACCCAGGATCCTAAAACCCGCCCAATTATAAGTCAGGAATGAAGATGTTTGATGATTGAAGATGGTATATGGTATGACGAAATTTTCATATGGCAAGCATTTATCAAACTTGTCTTCACCTTTGTTTACTGCCCTTCAGTTATTTAATTGATTGTTCTGCACATTTCGTGAGAATGGGAATCATCACTGATTAAATGCCTGTTCGTATAAACTCGAGTACAAATCACATTAGGACTAACTAGTAATATAGTGGTATACTTGATAACATGGAACTCAGTTTCATGCGCTGCCTCATAATTAACGTACACACCTTTGGCATGTTGAAAAGAACATTTCTGAATTCGCTATGGAAATTCCTGCAGTGAATCCATCATATAGACGGACACGAAATTATTCACCGAAATTACAGTTGGCTGCCTGTTCCTGCGATTCAAGAATGAATTCTCCAGACTTCTAGTTATTCTAATGAAGTTTACTCTTTCACATCATTCGAATTTCACACAGTTAGCATGATTTAACAGCGGTTATTTGAAAGTTTCATCGAAAAGTGAATTAGGTCTATCCACAAACACTACATTTATGAGTAAGCTGTATGAAATCTTTCCCATTAATGTTAGAAAATTAGCCACAATCTGATCATCTTCAACATCATTTCTGGTCATGCTCAAGATGTAAAAACCCGTCATTTTCTCCCAGAAGGATTCGGAATTCGAATGCGAATTCAATTACCTAGTCGCAGGTTCCATCGCGGCTCCGACATGATAACTAGAAGTAATTGAACTCGTTATGCTAGCTAGTAATGCACAATATTGTCGAATTCATTGCCTAGTATTCACATATGGACCAATATTTTGGTCAGAGTGAGTTGTGTGAGGACAATCAAAGGAAATACACACGGAATTCCATTCATTCACGGTGTAATATACTTAGGAATTATCAGAAGGTATAAATATCACAGCTAACTGATGAAATTCGATTCATTAAGTGTATGAATCTGCATCCCCGAAATACTCATCGTTTTGGATACCGTGAACAGTTATATTGTGAGGGCAGTTCATGGGTAAACTCGTGGAAGCTCTATGAAGCTCAGAAAGAGCAGAAGATATTATATCCAACCATGTTTTGGAAGAATATTGCAGAATCACTACGTGTAGCTTCCCTATTGGACAATGCTAATAACCCCCAGTGTGTGGACTGGATAACTATGATGATGATTTGGTTTTTACCAAAAACTATAAATGCCTGGCAGTTTTGTACCATAATTGACACTGTTGGAAAAACATTCCGTTCACTTGTCTTCTATCTCCTCATTTGCGACTTGGAGGGTTCTAGAGTTCGAGCGCTCAAGTTATACGTGGCATATCAAGAATGTAAGTTTTAAATATAACAACTGGTGATGGGGTCATCTTATCAAGATGTCGTTTACTTTTGAACAATTTGAGGCCATACTGGAGCATCAAGAAAAACGTTTCGAACAGTTCCACATTCGTATTATAGAGACACTAACAAAACAAATGAACCTGAATAAAAAAGGGGTCACGGATGACCCTTTCGAATCTCATGTTGACCACCCAGTTAGTTTATAATGCATCTGGAGGGAAGTCAAATGTTGTTAGAGAGGTTTGTTGGACA